AATAAAAAGAGATACCATTTTGTTTTCGTTTGCATAAGAAAGAATATCAAGCATTTTTCTTTTTTAAATTTAATTAGCCACAATAAAGAAGGAACGTTGCAATGCTACGTGCTACATTAACGACGTCTCTAGAGTAACTGAATGACTGTTCATATAGAAATCGCAGGTATTAGTCTCATACAACAATGCCCCCTATAGTTCGTTGCGATCGCGAATAGCTGAATTCTAGTTGACGTTTATCATTCAAAATTAAAAAATACTTACCAAGAAAACGATAATAATTTGTTAATAATCAACACAAGGGATACTATTTCAAGTAATTACGATTATTCTTTACTGCTATTTTTCGAATTGTATAAATAGAGAAATATGTACTATTGTGTAGAGAAGAGGAATATTCTATAACTATTACAGTTCTGTACTCATAAATCATATTTATTCATTGGAATGAAGTAAGAAATGTTGAATTCACTTCAATTTTTAATGAATTAAAGAGAAAAAAAAATTATTTTACCGTAAAATACACATATGTAGCAGCATGCGATCACGAAGTCGGAAGCTATGTTGTTGATAATGGAAAGGTAAAGAAAGATAGAGAAATTGTTCTTCAAATGTTGTGCTCGTTCTGTTTCAGAAAGATTTAATGTTGTGGTTCCTTTTTTCAAGCTTTTCAGCCTTTTCCTTAAGGAAATTTTGCTTTTTATTTGCTGCTAAAAAATGGCGTCCTACTTTGCTAATGATTTTGATAGAACTAAATAAATTAAAAAAAACTGCAAATAACCTATCCGCTAAAGGACGTACTCGAGCTTTGCATAGAACTTAAACTTTAAACATAACATAATAAAAACATAACATAGAATAAAACTTAAAACGGGTTGGTCATATTTCTTACAATGCCAAACATCACAAGACCTATTCGGTCTATTACTAGTTAAAAATATTTTTCAATTTCAGCATTTTTACCCTCAATAAACTGTAAGACCGAGTTAGGGGATGTTATACCATCACACATTCCTAGAATGTTTTTAATAGAATACAAATTAAATTTAAATGCACCAAAGCTAATAACTGAATTGCTTTTGAAAAAGTAGAAAGCCGTTTAAAAAATTCTACATTTGTTCATTAAACCGTCGCAGTGTTGTTCCTTTTTAAAAAGATAAACAAGAAATAATGAGATAGAATTTCTACTGGTAAACATAAGTACACAAATCTGTTCGGAATAAGAAAAGAATTATATTCCTTCCAAATCCATCTTTCTTAGTAGTCTGAGTTAGGGGTGAAGGAGGGGAGTACTCTAGATTTTTATCTCGTGAGTTGATAATCTCTAAGAACTATAGTTCATAGGTCACTCACAGCTTAGAGACACACCGTGTTCCATTCATAACTTAGTTTGTGTGAAACTAAGATAGGAATTGGAACAGAAATTCGAGCAGTTTACAGCAGGAAATAATGCTCAGGATCGGAATTAACTGCTGAAAGAAAAGACAACATTAAATTGAGAACTATATTGGTGACTCAGAATTCCAGGATAATATTATGACTATCATGCTTGAACACCAAAAAAGAAGAATATTAGTCATTTTTATTACTTTATCAGCATTCGTGAATATCCCCGTGTCTGGTAAGCTACATTTATGTTGTAATTTTTTTTAATCTTTTTCGGAAGTCCTCTTCTGATATTAATTCATATTCAATTAATTTCAATTTAAGTGTAAGAATATTTGAAGAAAATTCTTTATTAATTTCAATTCCTTGATGTAGCTCAATTAGATAAGGCCACCTAAGAAATCAAAAGCTATCACTTAAATATTCATGATTCCTGAAAACATTGGGGGGTTTTTTATCACTGAAAATAATGATTCTATATATACCCTGTAGCAAAATTTACAGAGGGAACCTGCAGCATTATCTTCATAAATCCAAATTTGTTAGCGACCTCAACGCAATTAGACAAGGATTATAATTGTATTTATTCAGTATATAAGTATATAAATTCAGTATACATTCAGTATACTCCGGGTATAAATTGAAATTTGCAAATATAAGGTCTTTAAAAGTTAGACAGGAGAACTTTATGATGTTTAAATTGAGATTGAATTTTATACAATGATACTATTATTAAAAAAAATGTGATAAATCCCTATGCAGTTGAACCTGTAATCGAGTAACAAATATATATATATATATCTTCCCTACTACTACTTTAGAAAATGAGGTAGGAGGCAAATTTCAGATATCCATATTGAGACTTTACCACAACTTGCAAAAAAAATTTCCAGCGTTAGCCAAATTAATTTCCATGCTTAACTACTTAATAAGTAACCTATAGGGGTAGTAGTGGGTATTAAAAATTACGGACCTTCCTTCGCACTTAAATAATGAACAATAAAAAAGGATAAGAGGAAAGTAATGAAAGGTTGCAATTAAATTTAAATCTATTCGTTTATTTATAGTTTTGTTATCTGAATATACTTGTTAGCGTTTTGTTATTTTATATCGACTTTTGTTACATAAAGTATTCGGATGTATCGCTTTTTTTCCCTTTCTTTTATTGGTCTCCCGGCATACGGGATATAACGGGAATGCTACTGTATTATTAGATTAATTCGTATTTTCATTCTATTGAAAATTAACGTAGCTCAATTTTAAAATGATATTTGGATGTTGAGGAGTCATAGAGAAAAATATCCATCGATTACAGTATTTAAAATAAATAAAATTCATTTATTGTATTCTAAGTTATATATAATCGAAATTTCATGTATTAAAATTCAAAAACTGTTTTACTTTTCATTTTTTAATATCTGAACAACCTCTAGTCTGTGAATTTAGCAATTAAACTAGTTTTTATATTTTTTAACCCAGGTTTCCCCTTAATAACTCAAATGTTATTTTACAACACTTTTGCCAATACTTTGAGTTCAATTTTGACACGAATTCCTAAAAACATGCATTAAGAGTGTTCTTTATCGAACAACTTGCATATCTACAGGGGTTAAAAAAAGCATGAATAGTGCCAATTATCTGGAGAGTCTCACATCGAATAAAACTTCTGACATAATGAAATATATATTTATTTATTTCAAATGGCAGAGGTGAATTGACATGCTAAAAAGCAAAAACACAGGAACAAAACACGAAAGTAAAAAGTCAGCGAAATATATATAAACTTAACCATTTGATTTTACTCCGGGTTGGGATGGGACTGCTTCAAAATCCTAAATAAGCCCATTGCAAACCGAAATATCACCTGGATAAATCTGCGAAGCAGTCAAATCGGGGTACTTTATTTTTGGAAAAACCAAATCTGCAATAAAAATTTGTGGTTTTTTTNTTGAATTATTCAACCTCTCTAACTCTTAATAGAATAACTTACAACGTTGTGCATAGTGTTCAAAAGCATTGTTTATTTATTTTATTTTTTAGATTTTTCCTGGGAAGGAACAAGAAAAGTATATAAAATTTAGCGATTATTAACTTTCCTGTTTTAATAAAAATAACGATCACTCAAATTTTAATGCAAAACGTCTTACCGAATTGCTGTGGAAAATGACAGAAAATCATCAAAATACTGATTATTTCAAAATTTTTACAAATGTTGTATTTTACACAATTACTATTGTAAATGTGGACAACATAGCAATAAAAACTGCACTTTAGGAAATTACACTCTATATAAAAGTATTATTTTAGAGGCTAATATTGATTGGTGCGAAAAGTAATTAGGAATATTTTAGTTGACAAAATGAAGAAGGGTTCATTTAATTAATAATGAGTGAAACTTTTTCTTTCTTTAACGATTTCTTATTTTCAGCTTGGCATACTTTCAAATTTTTTTTAATGAAATTTTAGTTCTTGATGTTCCAAATAACCCATAACAGTTTTTAGCTCGATAATTAAATTAAAATAGTTTTGTTTAATCAATTATTTAGGCACATAAATCAAAATAATTAATCGCAAACCAATTTCTATCTAACCACACATAATTTTAAGCTTTACAAGAGCATATATTTTCAATAACGTTGATATCTGATGTCATATCGCTCAATCCTGGGCACTCTAAAAAAATTATTATTATACCTGTTAAACCGTGATATTGTTAAACTTGACACGACAAATAAATTCGTTACCGTGCCTTAAAGAATTTCAAATATGAAATAACTGGTTTCTAGTTGTGAAATATTGTCCTCTATGCTGGGTGCTCTGTCATAATTAGCCTTAATATATATATTTTTAGAATTCTTGTCAAAACGAAAGTCAAAAAATATCTCTTTCGATACGTAAATTAATATTTAAGCACTGAAAAATATGCATACAATCGAAATCAAATTATTCACTGCTGAGAAACACATTGAAACATGTTTGATTGCCTGATGTAACAAAAGGGAGTTGAAAGGTAATTATTGGAAACACCTTTTAAGTTTCCCTAAGCAATTAAACTAGTTTTTATATTTTTTAACCCTGATTTCCCCTTAATAACTCAACTGCTATTTTACAACACTTTCGCCAATACTTTGAGTTCAATTTTGACACGGATTCCTAAAAACATGCATTAAGAGTGTTCTTTATCGAACAACTTGCATACCTACAGGGGGTAAAAAAATCATGAATGGTGCCAATTATCTGGAGAATCTCACATCGAATAAAAATTCTGACATAACGAAATATATATTTATTTATTTCAAATGGCAGAGGTGAATCGACATGTTAAAAAGCAAAAACACAGGAACAAAACACGAAAGTAAAAAGTCAGCGAAATATATATAAACTTAACCATTTGATTTTACTCCGGGTTGGGATGGGACTGCTTCAAAATCCTAAATAAGCCCATTGCAAACCGAAATATCACCTGGATAAATCTGCGAAGCAGTCAAATCGGGGTACTTTATTTTTGGAAAAACCAAATCTGCAATAAAAATTTGTGTTTTTTTTTTTTTAACTTCAGAACCAATTATTTATATTGTCGATATATTATAGTACAATGATAGACAATAGACAGAACTATCTCGCTTCTATTAAATAAAACCTAAAAATGCAACACTTGTGCTACCACTTTTTGAAGTCTCTCCTTCCCCCAGGGGAGTGAAATTAGAGGGGATCGTGTTCAGTTTCATTGAATACATCTTTTGAAAATATTTACACATTTTGAAAATATTAACACATGTAGTTTTAGATTTTTGATCCAGCGCATATTTCTCAAGATATTTGTCCGTTTCGATACTTTTCGGACACATTGTTAAAAATATTTAGTATTCAATTATTTTATGGGAACATTGTATCTCATTTTGATATGAAAATGAACAAAAGCTTAAGCTTTATTTAATCCATCATCCAAATCTTCTCCGGAAAAATAATTTGTGTTTAATGCACAAGTTATGATTATTATGCCTAACTTAATTTAACAAGCAAATCTAACTGTTTGGTCTACTCATATTAATTCTGTCTTTCTTTCTTTTTTTCCCTTATCCCAAAACATACAGGTTTATAATTCTTCAGACATGTAAAGCTTGTTGCGAAATCCTATCTTGCTTGCATTAGCTTTGCTGATAAGATTGAGCTGTATTTTAGTTTTTTGCCGACAAAAGACAAAAAAGCTTTTAAAAAAGTTTTAAAGTGGTTTTTGAATTTTGCACTGATTTTCTTGCACTGACGACAGCAAATTTTGAGCTGACGAAGGTGATTGTGACACATTTTAATTATGACATCTTTTTCCCTTGGAGTTTTATTTTTGCCATATTCTTCATTATTTTTCGAAACGTTATAGGTGACTTTAACACTTTGCCCAATTTTTGGTACAATTATACTTAATGTTAATTTTTTCACAGCTCAAACTAGGAATTTTCCTTTGTTCTTCACCACATAAACAGTCCTCTTGTACATAATAGTTTAAATAATGCAATACTATGTTACAAAGCAAAAATCAAAAAAAGTTATAGTTAAAGTTTTGTTTTTCAAATTTGAAAAAGCAATATTTCATCATTCAAAACGTAGTTTTTTCTTACCTTCATGAAGGTTCCGTAAGGTAAAAATTAAAAAAATAATCTTGAAATTAAAAAAATTGGTGCAAAATTAGTGAAAGGAAAAAAAATTACAAATATTTCAAGTGGTGTTAATTGTTTCGTTTTTTTAACAATCTTGAAATTAAAAAAAAATTGCAAAATTAGTGAAAGGAAAAAAAATTACAAATATTTCAAGTGGTGTTAATTGTTTCGTTTTTAAATTTTCGCTTTCGAGTCGGTAAAGATTGAATCTCGGAATCGAAATATTGTCCTATTCAGACACATGGTACCCATTAAGGTACCTCACCAAATGAAGGGTGTCCACAACCTGTAAAAATTAAAGAGTGGCGACGAACTTTTCTCAAGACAGCTTAAATTCTCATAAAATTAACTTCCAATTTACTTTTATAAAACTATACTACAAAGCTATTTATAAAACTTTTATAAAGCATATATTATGTTTTTTTTCACTTTTATTTTTTCCTATTGCGAGTTATTGCGCTACGCTATTTGTCGCCAAGCTTTAGGCCGCTGCAGGGAAAGTTCGCCTATCTTTTCTTCGCTGTTGTACCAGCATAGCCGCTGTCGGCCACTGTTTTGAACACTTATTGTAATCACATGCCATTAAATTTGCTTTTATAACTTAACTTCATCGTTCTTTGTGTGTTTTTGCCTCATATAAGAACATAAACTTTGACGCCATCTAGCGATTTTGGGTTTTGTTTTCGATCATGCATTCTTTGATCAAAATTGTTTTTCTGGGTGTGTACTATCACTTCCTAAAATTTTTCCCAACTTTTTAGAATCACCCTGTATATATATATAGCACCCACCCAGTCTTGAGATCTTTTCTCTGTCACTGTGTGTGTCTATGTCGTTATATGTTTCAGTAAAAATCTTAGATTTGATGTAAGTCGACATTCACGTAATCGGTGATGCTGAATATCAGCAATAATTTTTAAATATTGTTATTCTCCTCTAACATCCGCTGATATTCAGTTGAAATTATTACTCACATACAAAGCAGAAACTTGGTAAATGGATGTGTGTCACATGTTTAAATAATGCTTATCAGGAGAGGTAAAAGATCATTTAATATTAACCTACTGGACTAAAATAATAAATCTCCTTTTCACACACTCTTATTGACAACCTATCATTTTTTAATAGCCTTGGATGATACGTCGCACAAACAGAGATTTCCTCTGAAGAGATGCGCCTACCGATAACTTTGCCCGTAGTTAGTTCAGATAACAACTATCAGAAAAGATCCTCCACACTTAGCTAGTGCGAGACTTTTTAAAGATAACACACGAGCGTTTCTAGATCAGACATTTGTCGAATGTCCAATGAAAGTGAAACTATCGCGATCAGCTTTATTTTTATTACCACGTTCTTACTTGCGGACTACCTTTGTAGGCGAAATATTTAAATATTTAATTTGAATTTTTTTTTTAATTTTTATTTACGTATGTATTGCATAATAAAACATGATATTAATGCATTAATACTTAAAAACAATTTTTGTTAAAATCGTAAGAGGGTTAAACGTGGCTAAAAAAACAATTAAAAAAAACGCATGTTACAAATAATAATTTTTTTTGAAAATTTCGTTTGCTTTTAAGTGTTTTTAAATAGCGAAATTAAACTAGACATATTATTATTTTTTAAATAATTTACAGCCAATATCGCAACGCCTTTCGCAAAAACGATCAAAATATATGAATATTTTTAAAATTTTGGTTCGTTGATATAGCTAAAATTCGGTCAGTTAGGGTAGTCTTCTCTTTAGACACCTATACCGAGAACATTTATGCAAAATATTAAGTAAATAGGGTAGACAGATTTTAAAATAACATATTTAAAACTTGTGGAAACAATTAGAAAACACGCTCTGAGACTAAAGGTCGAGTTACGGACAGTGATTTGTGAACTTATGGTGATGTAGTTTCTTAAAATTTCCAAACTCCTCTTCTAATTAAGAAAAAAACAGAATTCAAATAGTTTTAGGAACCATTAAACGTGAATTTCTTTTTATGGAAAAATTTAATATTTGATGGTTTAGTCATAACTAAATATTATATATTATGTATTCTTACTTCATATTATTATTATATATAATTAGGCATAAATAAATATTATATATTAGCCTAAAATAAATATTCAGGTAGCTATAAATTTACAGTATCAGTTTGTAAAAGATAGATATTGCAATCGAAATTTCGGCACCTTTCCAACAGACTATAAAGTTCGAATTTTATCTGGAGCTTTTATGCCGGATAAAAATAAAAGTTTCCATCAAATATATTTTTGAGAAATTTTATGAAATGTTCAAAAAAAAAAGGGGGGGGGGGAAACTTTTGCTCTGACCCTATTCCTCACTCACTGTACTCGACAACACCCGGAATCAGATACTTCCACTGATCTTTTCTGGTCATTTCTCAATCCGAAATTGCTTCGCTCGCTTATTGAGTACAGTAAACACTTCCACTGATCTTTTCAGGTCACTTCTCAATCCGAGAACACTTCGCTCGCTCATTGAGTACAGTAAACACTTCCGCTGATCCTTTCTGTTCACTTCTCAATCCGAGATCGCTTCGTTCGTTCATTGAGTACAGTAAACACTTCCTCTGACACTTTTTTTTAATAATTACAATGAATTTAATATTTAACTTTTAAAAAATTTAAATGTTTTTTAAAAAAATAATATTATGTTTAGGTGACTTAGAGCCTGTTCTTCAACGTTGCTGTTTATCTGGAGAGTCATGGGCTCGGAATCACACAACATGCACGGGTCCAAGCGACATGACAAACTTGCAAGCAGCAGACAGGCTGACATGTCTGACCACTCTCTATATATGCTGCATAAGAACTCACAGGAAAACCCACTGCGAAAACGGTAAAAATGCAGCTAAAGCCAAAAGACAATGTCTTGTTTCGCCTGAAGAAGGTGGGGAAACTTATAAGGTATCTATCTCATTTACTTTTCAACTTTCTTTATTACTGCTACAGAAAAAAGAACAAAAAAGAAGAAAAAAAACATTAATAAACTTTGTAATCTAAAAGTTCAAGCTTAACAGCTCATCAATCTAATCTCTAGGCTTGCTACTAAAAGAAACAAAATTATTGGAAAGAGTGACTAAGAAAAATACTCCAGGCACCAGCAAGCTGTTCCGATTGTTCAGCTATGGCCCTCATTCTATGTGGTACCCATTTGGAAAATATAATATGACCAATTTTATTTTGTTGTTATTATTATTATTATTTTATAATTTTCTGGCTCAATCACCGCATTTGGACATACCTAGAGTTAAATACTATAGCATAAATGCATAGTCCGTTTAAGCTTCTCCAACCACCTATAGTGATTGTTCTCAATCACACAATGAGTGCTATTATTAAATAAACCAATACATCTGCGGCGTAACTACCACTACGAAAATTAAACATCAATTCACAGGTATATAAGACATGCTAACTTGATTCAATCACGAGGTACCTTTTGATAGATGAAGGTTAGCATTGTCGATAACTCCGCCCCCCCCCAAATTGGTGACCTCCGGACGTGATTTGAACATGCAGTAACGCCTACTTCGTTGGATGGTCCACATTGAACGGTTGACTTGCTGCTTGTGACTGCGACATTATCCACCTCCTCACGCTGTTGCTGCTCAGTCTCTTCTCGATATGCTCAACGTCAGCCTGCATACACTCGATTGCTAATGACAACACAGGAGCGACTACGACTGTGAAGTTAATACAACTCTCACATTCAGCACTCAAAAACCCGATGACCTTAAAATCAGCTCTCCCGGTCTTTCACAAGTACAACAACTAGTGGTATCCGCTCATCGAATTCTTTCCCTAATAAAATTCTGGTGGGGGAGTACTGTGGCGTAACTACCACTACGAAAATTAAACATCAATTCACTGGTATATAAGACTTACTAACTTGATTCAATCACGAGGTAAGTTTTGATTGATGAAGGTTGGCATTGTCTATAACTCCGCCCCCCACACATCAAATATCAAAATAATTTTTTGATACATCAAAATTCGAAATAAAGATTAACTGTACTCTTATTCGGTACTAAAGTACTCTTATTCGGTACTTAGTTGCTCGTGGGCAATCCGAAATCATCCAAGATCATCCTGAACCAAGAAATTTTCGCCAGATTAATTTTGCAAATTAGTAATTATTAATTAAGATTTATTTTTTTCAATTCCAACTATTAGCTCACACTCTCCCTATATCTTTCTCAAATTTTCAATCGTTAATAAAATACTTTTGATTCATCCATTCAACTACAAATAAATTTTTTGAACTTGTTGTGAATGACACTTGATGTTAATACAGTTTTTTTTTCAAATATTAATTCATTAATTAAATTTAATTAATTAATTTTAGCTTTATATGGGTGAAAAAATTTTAATTATTTAATAAAAAGTGACGAAAATAAAATTTTTCCTTGTTGACTTAAGTATGAATTGACTTTAAAAATTTTTTTTAGATATTACGTGTTTTAATTTCAATTACCGATGTATCTATTTTATTTATGTTTATGGAAGCACGTTTCAAAAGAGTAGACAAAATACAGACTATCCTTAAGATAAGGCTACTATACTAGGTCTAATTCAGGGGCTATAGTTTAAGATAGTTTTTTAAGCTACTAATTCGATGACGTCAACTCAGTAGCTTACGCAGAATTTTTTCAAGGGGGGTGTTCATAATTTTCTGAAGCTACTAAAAGAAATTCGAGTATGTAATAAAGCACTATTATTTCCCTAATTTAGACATCTAGACAGTTTATAAATTTTTTTNCTTTTCTTCATTAATTATTTCTTTTTTTACATTGTTTGGTAGTGCTGATTATATTTTTAAAGCAAACGGCATCATCCTTTTTAGTTCGTCAATGGTAGTTTTGTCAACAATATTTATTCTCTAAGATTCCAGAATCATCGCGTAAAGACCTCGCGAATGACAGCCAGTCTCGAAAACGATTGCGACTGGCAGAACAGAAAGGAACCAGTCCATAACAGTACCACGTGAATTTGGTTTCAAAAGTACAACCCTATTATAGTAAATGTTTTTTTAAGTATTCTGAGAAATACCGTGAGATAAAAAGGTAGGCATAAGGCAAATAAAAATATATAGTCTTAAAAAATAATACCCGCATAATTTCTACTACTAAAATGTTTATTTTTGCCATTTTGTCTGAGCTCAAGGGGGGTGTTCAAACTCCTAAACCCCTCCCTTGGGTACGCCACTGCGTCAACTCACATTGCGTATGCTTACGCGACATTATGTTCAAGTATAAATAATTATTAAAGAGCGTACAGTACGCAAAAAAAAAAATTAATAATAATAATAATTTTTAAGAAAACGGAATACCCTGAATAACTTTCAATCTAATGATTGGATCTTTACGTATGTAGGACTCAATCTTAATGATTTGGGGGGTGGGCTCACATATGCTAATTACTTTTTGCTTATTTCACTACATCTTACGAAGTTATTAAGGGAAATGAAATTTTTTTGATTAAAATTTTAAAAAATTTCGTTTATCAGAAGACAATGCAAAAATTAATTTTAGTAAATATTTATTATTTTTTATTATTTTGTTTAATAATATTCGAAAACATTTTGATTGGTAAGATATAAATTTTTCTCGTCATTTTAAATTATGTATTTCTGTATGGCAAAATGCGAAATTTGTGAGAAATCGGTAGAATAGTTCCCGAGAAATCGAATTTTAAAGAAGCCATATATTTAAAATTCGATTTCTCAGAATATATTCAGCCGATTTCGCTCAAATAATGTATTTTGGCACCTAAAACTGCACACTTTAAAATTACTATTCAAATAACACAATAAACGTTTACATAATAAATAATAAAAATAATAAATGTTCAAAAAAATAATAAATTTTTACCAAAAAATTTTTTTTGTAAACAGAATGTGTGTTTTTGTGTCTGATTTTATAACTTAAAATATCCTCTGCCCTAATTAATAATCATATTTGCTTTTACCCTCTTGAACCTTTAATAATGAGTCCTAGAACGTGAAGATCCGATCATTAGATCAAAAGTTATTCAGTTTCCGATCATTAAATCAAAAATTATAAGTTTCTTTTTTTTTTTTTTTTTGCTCATTGCACAATCAATTCTTCTTCAAACTCGACTTTCATCACAGAGAGAGAAGAGAATAGTCTAAAGTTAAATTTAAAACATTGCCTTTAGTTAAACTGAACAAAAAAATTACTTTTTCGAACGTCTTTCTCGAATGGACTAATTAAATATTTTGAATAATCTTTAGAATCGAGGGCTGAATTTTCTCTATAAAACCACCATGCTAATTTCGGTTCCCAGCGTATAGGAAAAGAATTAACGGTCACCCCCACCACTAGGTGACAAATTATAAGAAATGGCGATTAAAAAAAAATTGCCTGACAATCACCATCAGATCACAAATTTTATCACCGAAAATGCACCCCCAAGTTCATTTTTAAATAATTATGAAATTAGGAATATTTTATAATATTCAAAAAATTACTTTATTTCACGCTTGTTCATTTCATTTTAGAAATGAACTTTTTAATGTTTACCATATTTTGAGAAAGGCTTCAAAAGAAATGCTTTACATTTTTAATGTCAACAAATTTCTTAATCTTTTGAAACTTTCGGGTTTTGAAAAAAGAGACTAAGTTAAATTATATAAAAAACAACGTTTAAAATCACAAATGGTGAAATTTTTATTATTAAGCTTTTCGATTTCACGTGGTGGTTCAGGGGGTAGAGAGCGCTCACCTACCAATGTGGTGTACGGGATTCGAATCCCAGTGACGGTTATTCGTTAAGAATTCCGTACCCGGATCACATCGTGCTAACGTAAAATAGCCTCAGTGGTAGACGGATCATGGGTAAGAGTTCTCTTGTCGTTAAACTAACCGTGAGAGGGTTTAGCAGTTTTCCTCTCCAAGTTACACAATTGCGGGTAAATTCCATCAAAAGGTCCTACACGAAAACATATTTCTCTTAATACTTGATCCAGGAGTTGCTTTGTCTTTTAAATTGGGTTTAAAATTACAAGGCTACGGAGTTGAACATTGGTAGTTGTAAACTCAAAAATGGTGGGTTTCAACAATGGTCATGTAATTTGAAATACGATAAAATGATTCCTCTTCTTCAGTAGATTAAATGGCAAGGATGGTAAAACAGAGATGATTTAATCCTAAAGAGATTACGTCATACTAAAGAGATATATACATATACAGTTAAAGGTAAAACATTTAAATGATAAAAAATTAAAAAAGAAAAAATAATGATTTCCAAAGTTTTGACAAATGTAGTATGGTAACAAGATCATTAACAGTAAATCTTTTATCTTTGATAACGCAGTATTCCTCTCAAATTCCAGGTTAACGCATGAAATACATTTATGAATGATAATTATGTCTCAAATTAAGAACTTCACCGTTAATCAAAAGCAAAACATTACAGAAGGCCATAGGCTCTATTTTTCTTCATCTTATTTCATTCTTCTATTCATAATATTATCACAAATACGAGAGTTGCTATTTATATTTCTGGCCTTGGCAACAGTAAGTGTTGCTAGGCGACCGCAGACGATTTTAATCGAAAGTTTGATATTTTTAAACATAAATTCAGCAGACGATTTACCATTATAGCTTCATTTGTGCTGTTGACAGTAAATTGAAAAGTTCTTCTCTTTCAAAAAATGGAATTGAATCGAGAACATTTTCGTGCCATTATTTTTCATAACTTTCGACATGGATTGTCAAGACAAGAGTGCTTCGATGAACTTAATTCTTTATTCAGCGATAAAGCGCCATCCTACAGCACTGTAAAAAATTGGTATAACGAATTTAGTCGTGGTCGATGTTCGATCCAGGACGAATCCCGTGCAGGTCGTCCAAAATCCGTTGTTGTGCCAGAAAAGATCGATGCTGTGCGTGAACTGATAAAGCAAGATCGTCATGTGACATACCGTGAGATAGAGGCGTCTTTGGACATTAGTATGACTAGCATCAATAAAATATTGCATGAACATTTGAGCGTAAAAAAAATTTGTTCGCGTTGGATCCCGCATAATCTGACAAACGCTCAAAAAAAGGCTCGTGTCGATTGGTGCAAGGAAATGTTGGAAAAATACGTTCAAGGTACATCAAAGGCTGTGTATAACATCTACACAGGTGACGAATCATGGATCTATGCATATGAGCCGGAAACAAAACAGCAATCAACTGTATGGGTCTTCCAAGACGAGGCAAAACCAACAAAAGTTGTTCGAGGAAGAAGCACATCGAAACAAATGATTGCCTGTTTCTTCGGCATTAACGGTCATGTGGCAACAGTGGCGTTAGAGCAACGCAGGACGGTCAATTCTGAATGGTACACGACCATTTGTTTGCCAGAAGTCATCGGAGAAATTCGAAAAAAGCAGAAGAACAGGCGAATCATTCTTCATCATGACAATGCGAGCTCTCACACATCGACTCAAACAAAGGCATTTCTGACGGAGCGAAAGATCGAACTGATGGGTCATCCGCCGTACAGCCCTGATTTGGCACCCAATGACTTCTTCTTATTCCCACACATCAAAAATAAATTACGTGGACAACGATTTTCGACCCCCGAAGAAGCGGTTGATGCATTCAAAACGCATGTTTTGGAGTTACCTCAATCGGACTGGAAAAAGTGCCTTGAAAATTGGTTCAAACGCATGCAAAAGTGTATTGATCATCATGGAGAATATTTTGAAAAACAATAAAACCAATTTCGATCCTATATATTTGTTTTTTCATTATTAAGCCAGAAATATAAATAGCAACCCTCGTAATTACTCTGGCACTATAATAAGTGGCTAATGTATTAAAAAATGGCAACTGTAAAAAAGTGCTGCAACTGGTGTCCCTGGGTATAGGACGAAAATTTCTTAATTTTTGCCCTATATCTTAGCACAAACGGTTCTGGAGTTATAAGAACATCCATGGTTGATATTTTTTTCCCTTCCAGGATTGCTGTGATGGATGCACTCTGGGATTGCAAGCTGAAAAGATGAGGATGCCCTGTTCTTTTTCCCGTTTCACTTTCGGAAGTCCCTGGGATGAAGCTTTTAGAGAATGTTGTGAAAATCCCTACTCTGCTCTTGGAACTTCACCCCAAGTCACGGGTCTGTAATTTTTACATTACATTGCAAGGAAATGCACATTGCATCCTGATAAATTTTGTTCAATTGATAGGATTTTCATAACGACAATCATAATGGTACTGTGACATAACTTAAATATGCATATTAAACGGTGCAGGCGATGTTAAAAATTGACGAATCTGACACAAAAACGCATTTTTTTTTCTTTAAATAAATAAAACTTTTTAAGATGGAGTTCAAATATTAGATGTTACCACGATGTCGGAAGTGTGGCCAGAAATTGAACTAAAATTTGCTTTAAATACGTTTTGCGTATTAGGCAAAATTATTGGAACTATTTGAGGGAATCAAAGTATCTTTGAATTCATTCACAAAAAAGTACGTTTTTGGGTCAGATTTCATTACTTAGAGATGGCCTGTCTGAAGGGCAAAAGAGCTTGACTTACCTCCAAACCATACTTTTATTTAAATTCATGAAAGAAGAAAAATTATTAAATCCAAAAACAAACGAGAAGATAAAACAGACAAAAAAATTTTAATGGTTTAATGAAAAGGATTTAAAAAAAGCTAAAGAAAACAATTAAAAAGTTTGAAGGTATAAAAAATGTTAAAAACAATTTTCTATGAACAAAAAAATTTAACTACATTTCTAATTAAGGTTAAAGTAAGGTTAATATTTAAGATATGTTTTTCAAATCATTAAGATCTACTTAGTAAGTGTAATTCCGATCATTGGATAAGTTATTCTGGTTATAACTTCTTATTTATTTACAAGGAACGTGAACTGTGCACATTGATTTTCAATTTCATTAAACTGCTTCGATGCATAAGACTTTAAATAATTAATATCAAAAGAATGGTTCAAATAATTTTAATTATTTATTTAATTTTTTTGTTTGTACACATAATACTAATTTTATTTAAGTGTTCTTCCGTTTTTTGCAGTCAACAGTGAATGTGAAGTCAACAATCCATGTAGTCAAAAGTGCGAGGTGATAGCCAATCAAATCAGATGTTCTTGTTATCCTGGCTATCAATTGTCTCAAGATCTAACTACCTGTAATGGTATGTTAAATTAACAAGTTGATTCAAGATCGAACTATAATAAATTATATTTAACCAAACCACATGACCATAATGTATTGATTCACTGTTCTTCACTGCTACAATGCTTTTAATTGTTAAATTATTGATGTCTAAGTAATGCAGCGCAATCGTAACAATGTAGTTATAATGTAGTTGTAGTTTATTTACGTCGCACTAGAGCTGCACAATGGGCTATTGGCGACGATGTGGGAAACATTCCTGAGGATAATCCGAAGACATGCCATCACAATTTTGATCCTCTGCAGAGGGGATGGCACCCCCGCTATGATGTAGCTATAAACAATGTGACGGTGAACTACATGGTCACCATTGTATGTACTTTTTTAGTTAGTTTTTTTACAAGGATTCCTAAGTAATATACCATTTGGTATTGATAATATACCATTGTAATATACCATTTGCTATTGATAATATACCATTGCAATATACCATTTGCTATTGATTAGGTTTGTTGTTATCAACTAAGTAACACACCTGAGTGTATCATTTGATTTGTCCAATTCTCTATCTCTTTGTTTCAGATGTGAATGAATGTTTATTGGGGACGCATTCCTGTAATCCTTCGAGTGAAACTTGCGTCAATGCCATTGGTGGATTTCAATGTGTTGCAAATCCAAATCTACCTCCAAGGCTAGGCCCATGCCCTCCTGGATATACATACAATCAAGAGAAGCGTGCTTGCGATGGTAAATACTTTTTATGTGTTTGGAATTTTTTAGGACCTATGTTATTTATCTATTTATTTATTGTTTCTTTGATGGTAATAGTTTACAATCGGAGGTCCCTCTTATATTTAAGGATTTTAAAATAAACCAGTATACAGTAGAGTGCCGATTATCCGAAAGCTCATTTTCCGGATTGTCTGATTATTCGGATCGTTCAACGATTATGTGTTTTCCCACCTTCTCCAAAAAAGGAAACTTTTCCTCGCGAAAATGTTTCTTTATTTTAAGAACATCAGTAAGGGGACGAAAAATGGCTTCTTTGGTTACTTTGTGACCTTGAAAGGAACATCACGTTTCTTATGGCGAGTTTCAGTGTCGGTGGCATGTAGTTTCTAATAAAGGAATAGGTTTCTAATGAAATTTAAAAAAATTTAAACTTTAAAACACGTTGCTTGTAATATGCTATTATTGTCCCTACTACTGTCAATTCTATTCCTGGAAAAAGTCTGATCGTTTTTTTTTTAACTGTTTACAACTGGTATGGTTTCAAAACCATAATAACGAAATTTAACAGGACATTGGAGCTAGGCTTTTCGTTAGGTAATGGGCATTGGAGTGTACAGGTCACAAATTGGGAAGTGTAGAAAACTCCTCATGTGTTGAAGGGACTGGGTGAAATATTGCAATGTCAAAGCTAGAACTAGACCCCCATTCTGTCCATCAAGTGACTGACAGATTAACTCTCTCGGTTATAATATGTACCCTGCTGCATGGAACTAAGTTGCTTCATTAGATGGACCTAATTAGTGTGATAAAATTCTGGTTGTTTTTCTATATTGGGGTAAAGCATTTAATAAACAGTTTTTCTCACATTTAACAGTTTGAATACCGTCTTAATTAGAGCTACTTGAGGGGGGCTTAACTGGTGCGATAAAATTCTGATTGTTTAACCGTTTTAGGTAAATGCAGTTACAAACGGTTTTTCTAACAGTTAACTGTTTGAATACCATCTTATTTATAATTATTTGACTGTTTTGTTTGAATATGGTAAAAAATTAATCATATAAATTGTTATTGAGTCATTATTTGAAAAATTTAGTGTATATAAATATTTTTAGACATAGATGAATGTCTGCATCCAATATGTCCACGAGGACAAAGATGTCTGAACAGTATAGGATCTTATAGATGCCTTACGATCAACTCAACAGCTACAAGCCAATGTCCAAACGGATTTACATTTTCATCGGATAATGGCAGATGCATTGGTAAGACAGTATCTTAAATTTGTTTTATTTATTTATTTTAATGAAAATCCCATGAGAGAGGACAACATTATTTTAAATTTTGTCTCCAGACGTTGACGAATGTCGCCAAGGAGAAGATGATTGCGACAGGGAGAGAGAGATTTGCCAGAACTCTTACGGTGGTTACCAGTGCGTCGAAAAACCTAGAAAGAATAGGAACTGCCCAGCTGGCTTCAAATGGGATGAAAATAAAGACAACTGTGAAGGTAAAAGTCTAAATTAATTGTTCATTTCAGCAGTGAACAACATTTTATAGAAAAATATTCCTTGAGTAAATACTTTGTAAAGAGTTATATTTTGAGCATTACTTAAAATATATATGTATGGAGCAATAGTTTGTAGAAAAATTTATATTTAGCAGCTCATTCTTAAATTTTATTCATTAAGCAAAAAATTGCAGCAGAATATGCAATAATCAATAATTTTAAAAAATACATTGAACTGCGTTCAGAATTAAAATATAGCCAAATCAGCAATTTTCAGAAATATGAACGTTTCGTAATATGCAGGAAAATGTCCCGTATCCTACATCTAAGAAATATAAATTCATTTTTGTTGCTCGCGGCACAATACAAAAACTGATAAAATGTCATTGTCAAAAGAAGGTTTTGAAGGTTCATTGAAATAGCAGCGCAGTTATGATCACCTTTCACAAAAATGTTTCATTGTTATTTTAGTATTTGTAGTAACTTATTTTTAAAAATAATATTTTTTTAAAGCAGAAAAATGTGACTTTTTACAGACTTAACACCAATTTACGCACGAACGTTTTTTTTTTCTTCAAATTTTTAATTATAAATTCGAAACGCTCAGGAAAAAAAAAAAATTGCGTTTTTCGATGTATTCGCCAAGTAGGAATGGGTTTAACTTTAAAATTTTTGATTTTTATTTAGTTTTCTTAAACTTTTCCAGTATAATTCGGAAGCTAGGCTACTTATTGTAAATATTTTTAGTCATCCTCTATTGCATGTAAAAATTTCATCTGAGTGTACGATTTTAGCTATATTTGTAATGTACTCCTTTAATAAATATCACAATGTCAACACTTTTACATTCATTTTTCTAAAATTCAAATTTTAAAAAAATAGATAGTCACCAGTAATCAAAATTTTAAAAAAATAATAAAATAGCAAATTAAAGTAAATTTTTAAAATTTAGTTCCGCGCTTTTGTAATTAAATTAAAGCAATCTACACAAACACATCCTTAACTATTAAAAAAAAAACATACCATATTGTACATTAATCGCTTTGGTTATATTATCAGCTTCTAAACAGTGTTTTTTGAAAAGGATTCCGTTTTTTGCTTTTTCTCTGAAAAATATTAATGCTTGTGTACAGAATGTCTTAGTCTACGTAATCCGTTTTATGTTATCCTCTGTGCTTAAAGTATGTCTTCGTCATTTTGTTTCCGTTCTTGTTTGTCATTGCAATCAGACGTCGATGAGTGCAGGGAAGATCTTCACAATTGCAACCAGGCAGACGATGTCTGTAGGAATACTATGGGAGGTTATGAGTGTGATCCTAAATGCCCCCTCACCATGGGATTCGACCCACTGCAGAACAAATGCGTTGGTAAGTTAATTCATTTACTCATTTTTACTTTCGTTAATCCTAATATATTATTTTTCTTAAAAGTAACCAAAACTATGTGAAATTAAATTACGTTCCGTATGTTATGTTGAATAAGGACAAAATGTTTTTAAAAAAAATTAGTTAAAAGTTTTTTTTACTTATTTTTTTTCTCGAACTGGAGAAATATAATCATATTTTGTAGAGAATTTTAAAAAGCAATTTTAATTACAATAGAGAAGACAGTAGATATGGAGTAGTTGACACTTGACAAGAGAAATCTAATACTTTAAAAGCATTTTAAAAAGCGCATGACACCTGAACATGTGGCAACACACATGACATCTGACATCTCACTAAAGAGGAATGCAGTATATCAAAATTAGTTCGATAGTTAGATGAAATTTGAAAATATTTCATATAATTGCAATTTACTTCCTCCTCTCAATTTCCCATTGTCGAACAAGTTTTTTTTGGTTTTTGATATCACCATCCTCGCTTATTATTCGTTAGATTTTGATACCATTTTTCACATTCCAATGTGTGCGTAATTTTAATTTCTTTTTGACAAGGGTTCTAACAAAAGATATTAAAGTCGGTCATTAGAGAAATACAAAAATATTTTTTTACAAATAAAAGCATTTAAATCACTGATACTTCGAATACTACTTCTGGTAATATTATTAGTTTTATTTAGTGGATGAAGAGACAAATAAATTTTCTGATAAACAGTTCAGTTACGTTGTACTGACATACAATGCACCGGTATTTAATTCACTCTGGTGGTGCAGTCGGTTAAGGTGCCGCTCTCACCAAAGGTTGGAGACCTGGGGGTTGTGCGTTCGGTCCTGGTGGCCAACAAAGCGTGTATGCGCATCAAAATGCAAGTCGAATCTATCGTAGCAGACAATTCTCTTTTTGGTTACGGTGTGAAATATTAAGAGAGGGGTACCAGCTCAGGTGCTGTCCACTTTGTCTGACCAGGCTCAAAATTACGTGACCTTAGCACCATGGCCACTTAAAGATAGAGCCCTGAAAATTGTCATCATTGAATGATGATGATGTACTGTCATTCATAATTAAAAACATTTATAAATATAATTTACAGTACAAAACAAAATTGATAATAACTGACTATTATATTAATCTTCATTGTTTAATATGGACTCATGAGTTATAGTTTAACTATTTTTAATTGCAGAACTAGATATGTGCTCATCAAATTTACACAACTGCAAATCTGATGAGATATGCGTACCAGTCTCTGATAGTTTTCGATGTGTACCAAAAAGTGTTACTGACAACTGTGAACCAGGTTTTAAACCAATTGTCCAAACAGATGGATCTAAAAAATGTGAAGGTAAATCAATTTATAAGCTTGTCATTCACAAAAATTGTATTCTTAATTAGCAGTCAACATTACTTGATGGAAAATTGACTTCATTTCTTTATGAATTTATTTACTTGCTTAAAGATGTGAATGAATGCGAAGAGTTTCCGGGTATTTGTGAAGACGAGTCTAAAGTCTGCAGGAATGACGTAGGAAGTTACAAGTGCGTTGTTCCACTCTTGTTGGAGCCTCTAGTCGAAAATTGTGCTCCTGGATTTCGATTCAATCAGTCACGGAAAAAGTGTGTTGGTAAGTAAAGGATAAATTCACGAACTAGTAATGCTATTGTACTGCTTTCAGGAGAACTCCTCCAGACATCCGTCTCGCGTCGTGGCGGTTACTATGGTTACGAGGAAAGGTCACTTCGAATAGCGGTGTGGGGTGAATAGTTTTGTCTTAATCTTATCGTTGGTTGTCGTAAATAAACCAATTGACACCTCCTCCATTTCACCCCCCATTAGAAATGTGCCCTCGTTTGTTACCATAGCAGCAGACAGCCCCAGACTTTCAGTCTGGAGGAGTTCTCAAAGCCGCACTATACTCAAGTTCATTTTTTGCATAAGTAATTTGTGTATCATAATATTAAGTGGAAAAATCTTTTTAAAAAAATTGTTTCAATTAAATTGTACTTAATACAAGAAGCAATGATTTTCATTTTTTACAATTTATTAATGAAACTTTAGCATAAATCAAAATATTTTTTGCTATGTTTACTTGCGTCTTCATTATAAATATGAATATGAAGAAAATAAAAGGGAAAATAATGTAGGTAATTGTATTTATAAAATAGAATCTTGTGTTAGTATTTTATATTTAAAAATATTAGGAAAGGGGAAAAATCTTTTTGAAGAAATTATTTCTATTAAATTATACTGAATACAACAAGCAATGATATTCATTTTTTGCAATTTATTAATGAAACTTTAGCATAAATCAAAATATTTTTTGCTACGTTTACTTGCACATTCATTATAAATATGAATATGATGCACTGATTGAATGGTTATCTATTATTAGTTTTTGTACTTAATAAAATTCGGTAACCAAAATATTTTTAAGAAATTATTTCTATTAAAGTATGCTCAATACAAGAAGCGGGACTTTTCTTTATAATTTAATAGTAAAGCTCTTGTATAAATCAAAATATTTTTTGCAACATTTACTTGGACATTCATTATAAATATGAATAAAGTGGATTTAAAGCAACAAAAGAAATAAAATTAGAATAGAGTCAATTTATTTTACCCATTTTGTTATTGTCTAAAACAGACATGATATAATTAAATTGAGATACTGAGAATAAATACACGTACTAAAAAACTTACACTTCTAAAAAGACTAGTTTCACAGTTGTTGCTTAACGTTAGCATCATTATAATGAAATAGTTACAACTTCTTTCAAATACTGATCTGACCGGCGCGTTCTTCTATTAGATATTATTTCTTTCATCGTTTTTTTATGCTTGATTATTCTGTATAAAACAACTAAACAGACTAATTTGACTATCTCTTTATACTTATACAGTAAAAAATTCCGGATCAAAATACGGTAAAAAAATATACGTTGCTGGTACTTTTTTCCGTAAAATCCATATTTACCGGCACATGTGGAGGAACAAAAAAACCTGATATACCGTAATTTTTACCGTCATAATTACTATAAAATCACCGAATCTCTCTAATTACATAAATATCAGTGTAAAAATTACTGCATAATATTTTACGTTAAAAAATGGATTTTACGGTAAAATGGAATTTACGGATAATGCACCCAAAGTTCTGGTACCTTATACCGCAATGATCCGGAATTTTTTACTGTGTATAAGCCTCGAAGTTGGCACTTAAAGTTATAATCAGAAATAATTGTCATTCTATGAATTTTTTTTAAAATTAGATTTCCTTTTCAAACAACACTTTAATCGGAACAAGATAATTCAGCGGGACTGGTCATGGTGGCCGTTTGAACGGCGTTGAGAAAATCTTAATTCGTGCAAAACATTCGACATCTTGCTGTTCTAAATTTTCGCTAAAAGAGAGACATTCTAAGATTAGTCGACATCTGTTTGTTGCTCTTGAAACCTTCTTTTTTGTTTAAAACACTAAAGGACTCCTTTTATTTACATTTTTTCCCTCTAAGATGTCACTAACTCAATGACTTAGTAAAATAAACGAATGTCTTATTATTAAATAAGATTGAAATTAGATCTTCCTCCAAGAAATCACAATTTTTTTAAAATGTCACTTAGAACTTTATTTTTTTTTATTAAGCTCTTCTTTTTAGTAGTTGAATCTAAATTTTGATAATAGGTATCCTATTTTCTAAAATAATTCCTTTAGTTTGAATTTTTATTTTAGTAAATTGTTCTTGGTTTGAAAATAAGAATAGTTTATTTTTTAAGGCACATATCCTGGGTGTTGTAAGACTTGATAGCAAAATGTGTTTTGATATCAATATCTGCATACATTTTTTATAATTGATATTATATACACCGAAGAGCTATTACATTATGACCACCCCCTCTATAACGATGGGCTCGCCCAGGTTTTCATGGTTTCCCGCCCAAGAACAATGTTTTCATGGGGCATATTAGGACCCATAATCCTCATAGAACAATCCCTGACGTCTGTAAGCTACTTGTACATAGTTACAGACCAGGTTCACCCATTCATGGCAACAGTTTTTCCTGCGGGGGATGGTGTTTACCAACAGGATAATGCACCATGTCATAAAGGTCGAATCGTCATGGATTGGTTCGAGGAACATGCCAGTGACTTTCAAGTCATGTCTTGGCCCCCAAATTCACCTGACCTTAATCCAATAGAGCATTTGTGGTCCTACTTGGAAAACCAAATTCGTGCTGCCACTTTACCCCTTCGCAATGTGAGGGAATTGCAGGACCAGTTGGTGAGCGCTTGGTACCAGATACCTCCTAACAAACCACCACACCTTGTGGAATCAATGCCACGGCGGGTGCTAGCAGTTTTGAGGGCTAAAGGTGGTCCTATATGTTAGTAGCAGGGTGGTCATAATGTAATGGCTCTTCAGTGTATATGCAGCTTCAAAATACTGTGACCAGATAATTAAAGAAATTACTGTATATGGAACTCAGTGTTGTTGTTAAAAGGCAAATGTTAACTTTGAGCAAAACTTTTTTCGAAAGAGGTATTTTAAATTTTTCCAGTGCTATATCAGCGATGTATGTAAACTCTGTTTAGAAAACTGAATTTAGTGACTGTTTCCTCTTATAGATATTGATGAGTGCTTAGAAAATCTTGACAACTGCAGCAGGGTAAATAAAAATTGTATCAACATAGATGGCAGCTTCGAGTGTGTAGATCAACCACCATTTCGCATCTGTCCTCCAGGATACAGACAAAATCCTCGAAATGGAAGTTGCGAAGGTATTCTAAGATACGAAAAAACTTTGTTCGAATTATACAAGAAAATTAATTACATTGTTTGTTCCGAAAACAAAGTCTTCGAATCTACTAAAAAACATGCATTAATTTAATCGGTACAAAATAGTGGAAAGTCAGAAAATATATTCCAACATCATTAAAACACTTCCAGCTAGCCTTACAAAAAGCCTTTTTCAGAATGTTCTTTGAAACCTTGATGCAAGTCTTTTCTTGACTTAGCCAATTGTCCTAGAATGTTGTCCTTTTGTGGGAGTTTACAAGTTTTGGAACAGAAAAGTCTTTGGTGGAGCTACGTTGGAACTTAAAAAGACACCTTACCGCGAGAGAAACTTTTCATCGCAAATTCTCTTTTACCTTCATAAGTAATTTAAAATTTAAAGTATAGAAAAAGTAAGTACGGGAAAACCTAGAGTTGGCCATAAAGTTTCAATTGCCGAAAAAAAAAATCAAAATATCAAAATGTAGGCAAATTATAGGAAGAGAGCTCCTCCATTGCATAATTCTAAGTTATCCTCTTATAATTTCTTTTTTTCATTTTGATATCTTACAAATTTGTTTGCAGTAATTGAAACTTCATTATGACCTTCTAGAATGATTTTCATGGTTGATTTTCATGATTTTCATGGTCCTCACAAATTTCAAAAAATATCTTATGATACCGTTCCGATGAGAGATTATCTTTAAAGGCCGTTTTTATCATAGGAAAAGTTACCGATGTCAATTTTCCGAGTGCCACAAAAAACTTCCAGCCTGGCAATCCACCGGGAAATCCACCGTGAACGGCATGGTGGCTTGCACGGGTAACAAAATGAATTTTTTTTTAAAAAATGCTTGCCCTTGTTCTCTGAATAGCCAAAGATCAACATGAAATTTATCTCGTAATTGTATAACTCTAACCTATATGACCTTCCAGGCCAAAAAATTGGCTGTATCGAGCACAAAAGAACTCATTTTCTAATTGTCAAATCAAATGAAATTATTTTTTGTTAAATGTAATTTTTCCGATTTATGCTTTGAAAAATACTCCCTAGAAATTATTTTAGGAAAGTCTTGGGTCACTTAAGGTCGTAGACATACTTTTCTAAAGATGGATATTTTCACACCAAAACTGTTCCTTAGTATTGTTTCCAAATACCTACTTTACAAGTTTCCGGTTTTTCCCCTTAATAAAAGCACGATACCCAGAACATCTTATTTGCAATACTTTCCTTTGAACACGAGGCTAATCATTATTTGCTCCAAGCCATTCAAATATTTGAGGTATATTCATTAACTTTTTAAAAGTTTTTTTTTTTAAGTTAACTTCTGTGCCCCACTTTTACCAATGTACTAAATATGTATCAGGGTAGCGGTGGTTCAGGATATATATCGTTCGTCTTCAAATGAGGTAACCCAAATTCGAATCCTAGCAATGGCTGGTTGATAAAAATTCTTCTTTCAAGTTGCGCAGACCACATTGCTGACATAAAATATTCCCAGTGGTAGATGAATTATGAATTTGAATCCCTTTGCCATCCAGCTAACAGTGGGAAGTTTGTGTGGTTTTCCTCGCCATGTAACGCCAATGCTGGTTAGTTTCATCAAAAAGACTTTACGAAGGCAAATTTCTCTCAATACTTGTTTCCTCGTTTTCTGGATTGGGTTCAAAATTACAAAGCTACGTAGTTGAACATTTCTAGTTGTAAACTCAGAATTGGGTAATCTGTTCAGCGCCGGTTATAAATAAAATAAAGAAATGGGGACGAATTTCATAACATTATTCATTTTCAAATTTTTTAGCAACTTTAAAAAATAAAATAAAATAAAAAAAATTTTAAAAAAAAGTCGTATACTAGGTAGTGTAAAAAATTAAGAGACTTAGCAGACTTGGTCGATTATCTCTAGAACTACTGGTCCGATTTTAATGAAATTTGATACATTGATACAATACAAAGCAAATAACCATTCAACAATGGTTATACACACGCATGATAGTGCGTAGCACGCGTTGGAGTAGGAAGGTATGTAACAGCGGTTGAAGAATAAGCAAAAACAAACAAAAAAAAGCAGGGTATATGGTCCCCTCTTGCAGATATACAAGCCTTGCAACGTGATTTCATACTTGAAATAAGGCAGTTTATCATTTCTTGTGGCAATTTCATACCTTCCGACTCCAACTAGTATTACACATGATCATTCCTGTGTATTACAATTGTTGAATGCTTATTTGTTTTGCATTGTATCAATGTATGTACTCATCAAATTTCATTAAAATCGGTCCAGTAGTTCTAGAGATAATCAATCAAGTTTAGAAATTCTCTTAATTTCTCTCACACCAGTGTGTTTTAAAATATTTTGTACATTCAATGAGTTTTTGTGTTGAAATTTCACTTTTAACCATGGTTTATTGTTGTATTTAGATATCAACGAATGCTTGGAGGGTCGTCATCGATGCATGATAGACAAAGAGGTATGTCAGAATGTTGGGGGTGCCTACAGGTGTGTCCCATCATCGACACCACTACGGCCATGCCCTACTGGAAGACGGTACTCTCTCACGACCTTATCTTGCGAGGGTTAGTTTAAATTATTGTTTTCACTTTTAAGTTATCGCTTGCTAATGATCTTTGGTTGATCTTTGGTTGGAAGTTTTTGTATGAAAAAAATACTTTAAATGTATGCTACAGTGCAGAGCAAAATATTAATCATTTATTGCCCCCATATAGAAAAGGAACTCGTTCCCATTGTTTTTTCCTTTATGGCCTTCTGATAGAAAAAAATCCCTCTCCTAAGAATTTTCCCTTAAGAAACAAAATCCTACAAAAATCTGTTCATATTTTTTTTCAATATTAATGTTGGAAATTTAAAATGTGCCTCTGAGGTGCTAGCAGTAACGTATGGAAATTGAATTCATCTTAATTTATTCATATAAATTTATATAAATTTATCATATCGTCTAAATTTATCGAGTTTTTTTTTTGAGAACATTTTTTGTCATATAAAAAAATGGAAAAGTCATTGAAATATTTAGTCTGGATTACAATTTTGTTGTTCTTTTCTTCTTTTCATACTTCTGTAAATTTCCAGTTTAAACAATATTTTTTCCTTAACTAAAGAAAAAGAAAGGAAAGGAAAACAGGATTCAAATTTAAAGAAATGTAAAACGTTATACCTTCTATTTAAGACACGAACGCAACCTTTAAATAGTAATCCTCACAAAAAAGTTAATAAATGCAAAAACTATATTGATAGTGGTTGTTAAAAGAAAAAATAGCAGGCATTTTTGTTACAATCAAAAATTTCTACTTTAAGACAAAAAGAGAATTTAAAAAGTCCAACAAAGTTGTCCTTTTTAGAAGAAAAAGAATGTAATTGAGAAAGGGTAACAATAACTGAAATCCTCTTCATGGAAATAATCATTCTTAAAAATGAGATGTGTAAGTTCAAAAAATTTATTTTCTATTTTTTTGAACATTTTCTTACTACTTTACTAATAAATTAACATTTGTTTCTTTTTTCTTTACAGATGATACAGTAGAAAAATGCAAATGAAACTAATTCCTCACTGGCAGAACTAAACCACTTAACCCGTCATCTCCTTATTTGTACTTTTTTTTTAATGTTGCTTTATTTTGCATGTTGTTTGTTTTGCATGTTGCTTTATTTNATTTATTTTCTATTTTTTTTATCATTTTCTTACTACTTTACTAATAAATTAACATTTGTTTCTTTTTTCCTTACAGATGATACTGTAGAAAAATGCAAATGAAACTAATTCCTCACTGGCAGAACTAAACCACTTAACCCGTCATCTCCTTATTTGTACTTTTTTTTTAATGTTGCTTTATTTTGCATGTTGTTTGTTTTGCATGTTGCTTTGTTTTGCATGTTGCTTTATTTTGCATGTACTACTACTTCCACAGATGCATGCATCATGTTGTGATGATATAACTTTTACTTTATTCCCATTTTTAAAACTAATTTTATTTTTAATCTGCTATTAAAATTCTTGCATGTTTAATTTTAATTAGCTTCTCTATTCCTTTACTTAAAAAATTTCATTTTTAGTTTTCCAAACAATTTTATTTTAGTCCATTGTATTCCAAGTTTTCAATTTTTAGAAAATAATTAAATTTCAAGTTTAGAAATATAATCCTTACCTACGGACATACAGCTATTTTGTGATATGTCCGATTTTTATTTGACCAATTTTCAAGGGTAAAAATAATTATCAAAAAGAAAATCAGTTTAGAAAAAAATGATTCTCATCGTATGAAATAATAATAATTCTATCATTATAAGGTTCTGTAGATGCTCTTAATTTTTCTCCATTGTAATGAAAAAGGCATCATTATTAATTAACCATTTATCATTTACACTGAATAAAAAAAGTCATGTTTTTCCATTAATTATTTTCAAAATTTATACTGCAAATAAGGAGCTTTTTACTGAACTTACAGACAATCCTCATACAATAGAATGAAATTTACTTTTTACAAATTAAATTGAAAGAGACTTTTTTTTAAATCTTAATTGGAATAATTTCTGTCAAATATTTATTAATTTATATTCATCTCGCCTTTTAAAACTCGCCAGATTAAAAATAATATAACACTTTACATTGAAATGGAATTGGATGTAGATGAAATTGAGATCTTGTTCATCAGAACAACCATGACGCCTAAATTCATATCTCCATTTAGAGAAATGGGGGAAATGACCTCCCCAATATCCCATACACAACATCCTTCTAAAAACTTCATTATGCAAATTAGTCTGACATCATCCTGTAATTATAATGAGTGTAGCAGTGAGTAAATAAATGAATTAATTATTCAATGGAACGAGAGAAGAAAAAAACTGAATTAGTGAAGCGGCGAGTTATTATATCAATGAATCGGCGCGGATCAGGGAACCAATGCATTGCTGATTCATAGAATTAATGAATCAATACAAGTAAAATGTATCGAGAGAAAAAACTATTGTCTAAGCTTAAGAGGATGATATACCACGGGAGAAGCTTAACGTCACAAGCTCTCTTTCACCTTCATAACTAATTTAAAATTTGAAGGAAAGAAAAAGTGAATTCAGGCAATTGTATAGTAAGTCATAAATATTCAATTACTGAAGAAAAAAAATTCTAAAATATCGAAATACAAGCAAATTATTCGTCGAGAACTTTTCCATTGCGTAATCCTAAGTTATCCTCTCATAATTCATTTTCATATTTTAAAAATTTCTTTTCAATATTCGAAACTTCGTGTCTTACTCTATGTTTGCTTGAACTCTCTTTCTCTATACTTTAAATTTTAAATTAGTTATTGAGGTAAAAGAGAATTTGGGGGAAAATAGTTTTCTCCCGCGATATGGCGTCCTCTTAAGCAGTAGCAAAAAGTTCATTTTCCGGTTTTCAGGAATTAACACGAATTATTTTTCTTTTATTCTCATTCAGATGTGGATGAATGCCGTGAAGAAAGTCATGATTGCATTCCTACTGAAAGCTGTATCAATTCCATAGGCAGTTACAGATGCGTTCCCATTGTTCAGTGCCCACATGGCTACAGGTGGCGACCAGAACGAAGCAAGTGCGACGGTGAGTCATCCTTATCCAACCCAGAGCTTCTATCTACGAATTTCGTAGAGATTTTTTCAAGGGGAAAAGTTTTGTATGACTCTATGTTAACTAGATGTGAATATTATACATTCGTTGATTTCAGTATAATAGAAAACATAAGCAAGCACATCGTTAAAACTATAGTGCGACTTTCAGGAGAACTCCTCCAGACATCCGTCTCTCATCGTGGCGGTTACTATGGTTACGAGGAAAGGTCACTTCGAATAGGGGTGTGGGGCGAATTGTTTTGTCTTAATCTTATCGTAGGTTGTCGTAAGTAAACCAATCGACACCTACTTTCCTCCATTTCACCCCTCATTAGAAATGTGCTCTCGCTTGTTACCATAGCAACAGACAGCCCCAGACTTTCAGTCTGGAGGAGTTCTCCTCTAATCCGCACAATAAATTTACTGACTAATTAAATAACTTCCTTTACCACATGTCTAGAGCTTTGTCAGTGACTTACAAGGTAAAACTAATTCAAGTAATATGGTGTAAGCATCTAGAGCAGGTTTTTACTCAGATCGATAAGAAAGTATCGAAAATTCCTCTCTTTTAAATCTGCTTTTTCTTGTTTCCACAACAGCAGACGCTCCTAAACTGTGGCGGGAGGACTACTTTGGTTAGGCAGACAGTAGTCAATTTAGTAAGCTATTGGGATTACAATCCGCTTAGTAAGCAATATTTTATTGTTGCTTTTCCTTGGAGGAGATAGCTTAGAATTACTGATTTTTGTTGCAACTGAAACAAATAAATTGATAAAGTTTGAAAAAATTAAAGAAATGTTTTATTCAATTACCTGGCAGAAAAAAATTTGTTTTATTCAATATAGCTGAGTATAATATGTTTCTAAGCATATAATCACGTGATTGCTTTTTAAACTAATTATATTAAAACTCCTTTTTTTTCCTTGCCTCTTCAAGATGTGGACGAATGCTCTGAAGGTAGTCATGACTGTGATTCAAGATCCCAAACATGCGTCAATACAGTTGGTAGCTACCAATGCCAGTCTAGACCCAACCAAAGAGTCACTAACTGTGGTACTGGATACACGTACAATTCCATTTCAGATACATGTGAAGGTAAGTAACATGATTTAAGGGAAACCAGGATTTTAAGTTATACGGATGAGTATTAACATTGAAAATTTTGCGAAAACTAGTGATTTTTACATGGACTCAATGATTCAAAAATGTTCAGGGACGTAAAATTTAAAAATTCTCATATGCAATATTGCTTCGGTATTAGTACTTTGTAGCACTACTTGGCTTATGAAGGTACTGTAAAGTGTGATATAATATGTGCTTAGTTGCACATATTCTCCATGCACGTATCCATGCACAGATTCTCCATGCACGATACATCGTTACAGCCGTTTTTCTATTTTGCTGAAAGGGATAGTTATAAGAGGGAAAACATGATATAACGTTAAAATAATTTTTACTTTTAATCATTTTATGATTTATTACAACTAGTTGTGGTGAATCGTTTATTCACGGAAATGCCAAGTTCGGATGAATCGAACTTAATTAATTTTGCATGGCAATTTTTAAATTCAAATACAATTACATACTGTATTTGAATAGAAAAGCCTAAGTTGCAAAAATAGATGTAGTTTAATGTTTTATATTCACCTACTGATGGAATTAATTTTGCTGCCCCTAATTTCAACATGCTTCGCGGAAGAGAAAAGTCTGGTAAAATTACGTTTTAGGAATCTAAGTTCTTAGGAAGTAAAAATATTTTCGGGGACTTTTGAAAAGTTCTTATTTATTTCAAATGCATCAATATAATTCCAATTCTTAACGCATTACGAATATTTGGGATGTGTACTCTGTTAGAATTTTCTTTTTAAAATTACCGCAAAATAATCTGCAGCAATCTGTCCAACCAATTCAGTACTGTAAACTTTACGGTACAGAACATTTTTTTACTTTTGCGATTTCAAAATTGTTTGTGACCAGTATGGTTACAATGAATACAAAACTATATGGTTTTTTAACTTTTTACTATTAGCATGGTTTCAAAATCACAAATAATAAATTTAACTGGACATTGGAGTTACGCTTTCCGTTAGATTAGGGGCATTGGAGTTAAATTGTAATCGAGTTTTTTTTTTTTTTTCAAATGAACCTTGGATATGGTTTATTTAATTTATGTGGTTGTTTCACCAATTGTAAGAGAAAGGAAATACTAGACTTTTTTGTGTCAAGCATGTTAATGGTGCTGCCATCTATGCGTGAATGAGAGTATCTTATACTAATAGCCCGGATTCTCAAATTGGAGTACAGGACGCTGGAAACGCTATGCTGAAATGAAGTAATGGAATGTCAACGCTGAGATTCAAACCCCCATTCTATCGGTCATGAGACTAACGGATTAGCCCTCGCAGCGATAATACGTCCACAGTTGTACGGAACTAGATGGCTTCATAAAGTGAACCTAGTTGGTGCGATAATATTCTGGTTGTTTAACCGTATTAGGTGAAAGCAGTTAAACGGTTTTTCTAACAGTTAGTTTGAATACCATCTTATTTACGGTTTTTTTAAGTGATTTGTATGAATATGGTAAAATAACAATTAAATAAATTGTTATTTAACCATTTTTTCCGAGAAATTTCAAACAGTGTGGTGGGTTGTTCTTATCAAACGACTTTCTAAAAATAGCTATTAGTTTTTATTAACATTGGTTTATTTCATTTTAGATTTGAATGAATGTGATATATTCCAACCATGCAAAAGTGACCAACAATGTGAAAATACACTTGGAAGCTACAAATGCTTTTGTCAGCAAGGGTATACATTGGATGCAATCACTAAACAATGCAAAGGTAATAACAAGCGAAAACAATGTGTCATAATGTACCCTAGCTAGTATCAAAGCAGCACTTTCTTTTGAATAAATCATATGGGTAGATTACATCGGGACAATTCATTAAGTTTTCCTGTTTGTGACCCATAAAGTGATAAAAGTTAATCTTTATGATTAACCTGTGGGGCATGTAGTTACAGACCATGTCAACCGTCATCTATGAAAAGGTACCCCACAATAGAGTCGAGTTAACATGTCTTATATACTAGTGAATTGTAGTTGTAATTTTGTAGTGGTAGATACGCTACAGTACTCCCCCACCAGAATTTTATCTGTGATAGAATTCGATGATTGGATACCACTAGTTGAATAATTGCTGTTCTTGTGCGAAGCCGGGAGAGCTATAGTAAGATCATCGTACTTCTTGAGTGCTGAATGTGAGAGGTGTATTAACTTCACGGTCGTAGTCGCTCCTGTGTTGCCTTTAGCAGTCGAGTGTATGCAGGCTGACGTTGTGTGCTCGAGACTGAGTAGCAACAGTGCGAGGAGGTGGATAATGTTGCAGTCACAAGTAGCAAGTTAACTATTCAATGTGGACCATCCAATGAAGTAGGCGTATCCATACAAAGTGGGCGTTTTTGCCAAGGTAGGCGTGTTCACATCACGTCCGAAGGTCACCAATGTGAGGCAAGTAGTTGTTATCGACCATGTCAACCGTCATCTATGAAAAGGTACCCCACCATAGAATCGAGTTAATATGTCTTATATACTAGTGAATTGTAGTTGTAATTTTGTATTGGTAGATACGCTACAAACCCATATGGGATACAGGAAATAAATGTTATATTAATTAATAATTATTTATGGTCCGTAGTTACTGCATGATAAATTTGAACTGTGTGCTTAGACTGGGTTTTTACTTAGTATTTCTAAATAACTATTAAGGATTTATAACTTACTGAGTGACAAGTTTTTACACAGTTAGATACTATAAAGAGAGAAAATCCTCATATTAAGTAGTTATACATAATTGTAATCAATTTATTTACAATGATGAATCCGAATATCTATATCATAATCTGAGTTCATTAAAAAGCAGACAATTTAGGCATAAATATTTTGATCACAATGTTTGTTTAATAGCGATGTTAACTTGCTCATCTTCTTTTTCTTTCATTTATTATATATATTTTTTCTCTTGTTTTATTTTATTTTATTTTACTTTACTTTATTTCATTTTATTTTATTTTAATTTGTTTCATTTCCCTTTATTTCATTTTATTTTCACTTATTTTATTTCATTTATTTATTTATTTATTTATTTATTTTTATTTATTTATTTATTTTTTTTATTTATTAATTTTTCGACTTTAATTATCTTTTTTTTCTGCATATGGCTCAAAAATATTTCCTTTAAAGAAAAGCGATTGCATCCGTTTGCAACTTGTTTTGAAAATAAAACAAATTTGTGATATATTGAGAAAAAAAATTACTGACATATTTTTACTGATTTAAGTTAATTTAAATTAAATTTGATTAAGTTAAATTTCTAACTGGAAATAATGCTTAATTAATATAGCTCTTTAAATTTTAAGACTGTTACATAACCAAGCTAGCAATGACAGTTTCAGCTTAAAATCGAAACATGAGCTTCAATTTGGTAAAAAAAAAATTTCAATATTTTTTATTCGAATCTAGTTTCTTATTGGATAATATGTGGTGATTCAATAATGTAGGGAATTGGAAATGTTTTTAATTTATTTTTATCTCATAATACTCAAACATTTCTAAAAATTATAATAATTTATAAAAAAAATCTAGTATATTTCTAAAACTAACTTTTGTTAAGTTTCTGACAAAAGTCAATTGGCGTTTTCTGAACAAGCAGTTACTATCAAATGAAAAGTCCCAAAAAACTATGTATATACTAGTCCAGTGTTTCCCAAAGTGTGCTACGCGTACCCCCAAGGGTAACGGGAACAGTTTATCGGGGGTACGCGTTCTTATGCGAAATATCTTGCAACAAACGAAAATTTCAATAAATTTTATTTAAAAGCAAAGCTAGCCATGAAAATTCGTGACTACGTATTTTTCTATTGGCTATTTTTGCAGAGTTAACAGTTAATAATTAGTGGTGTCAACAGCCAGTTATAATTTTTAACTTTTGTGCAGTTTTTTATAGTAAAAAATGCATTCTTTTTTTATTAGTGGTACACAGAGTTATGAAAAATTTAGAAAGGGTTAACAAAAGTCATAAGTTTGGGACACACTGTACTAGTCAATGGAAAAACTTCTTTAGTTTCAATAATTGAAATAAGAACAGTTGACATATCTCACGCTCTCAAAACAAGACCCCCATACCGTTAATGAAAAAATCTGTTACGTCTTTTAAGTGTTGATGTGTCTTAATAATGGGTGCCTTGCTTTGAGCGTACGAAGCATGTCGATTTCTTTCGCCTCAATTTTTAATTGACAATATAATACCAGTTGAAACTGTTATTTATTTCGTAAATAACAATCATAATTGTCTTCTGACAATTTAGCTTAACTTTTTTTATCACGATTCTAATCCTAACTTTTTTATACCCTTAATCACTTTGTCTTTCAGATGTAAATGAATGCCAGTTAGAATTGCATTCATGTGCGCACAGTCAACGGTGTGACAACACGATTGGTTCTTTCACGTGCGTACGAGTTACAAGTTGTGGTACTGGATATACTTTAAACGCTGCTACCAATCATTGTGAAGGTAACGAACATTTAGATTGCATAAACTTTAATTAAAAATACAAAAAATTTTCAACTCTTGTTTAATTTTATCGATAATTTTTTTTAATATCCCTGACCCATACTTTCATGAAAAAATAACGCACTCCGCTTTTTGCTTTAATAATTGAATTGTCAGTCTATAAATTATCCATGAAAATATTTAACTAGGAGTTTCATATCCCATAATCCGTCTATTCACAAGATTTGCCCCTGCTTGCATTTTATAGTAAAGTAAAGGATTCTTGAAACAGTTCGTTGTGGGCCAAGGAGGTTAAGGCTTCACAATTTCGGGACCAACGGCGTGAATGTGGGTCAGCAGATCCATAGTGACCACAGTGCTAACGAAAAATTTCCTCAGTGGTAGATGGACCATGAATTAGAGTCCCCTTACCGTCAGACTAACTGTTGGAGGTTTTCGTACTTTTTTTCTTCATGAAACACAAATGCGGATTACTTCCTCCACAAAGAGTCTCCGAGATGGAAAGTCCACCACGAAGGCAAATTTCTCCCAATTCTTGATCCAGAAGTTCCCCTGTCTTCTGGATCGGGTTCAAAATTGCAAAGCTGGGGAATTGAACATTGGTAGCCGTAAACTCAAAATTGTATCGGCTGTTCGACGACGATTATAAAATCAAATATGGTCAGCACAAGCTAGTACCAATTGATCTGAAGTTAAGTGGGCTTCAAGCGGGCACTGGGATCGAACCCCAGTTTTTATATTTTACAGTATTTTAGTACATTTTTAGGTGGCATGCAAAATAATTTTTTTTTCAGACATCAGCTTTCGTTACAAAAAAACTGTTGGTCACGCCTGATATAAATTAATAAAATTATAATTCAGATCAAGCCGACCAGGTGGCCGAGTAGTTAGCGTGCCTGACTGCGGAGCCGATGGTTGCGGGTTCGAATCCCGCTCAGGGCATGGATGTATCTTTCTCTCTCTGTGCTCTATGTCCTTTCTTCTGTGTAATTGTGTGAATGTTACCCGCCCTATAAACGGGTTTGTGGTTGTATGACGTAGCCGACGCTACTCCACGGCCGTGGCTTAGCCATAGGTGCTCACTGGGTAACGATAAGAGAGTAGCAATTCTGGCATTTCTGAGGCCAATGGGAAATAGACACAAGTGCCCGTCATTACCCAAAGAAAAAATAAATAATTCCGATCAACAGTATTTAAAAAATGAATAAAAACTAACAGAGTGTAAGCAAACAAAATATAAATTAAAATAAAATGGAGAATAAGTGAATACAATATGAACTAGCGGCATACATGAAATTCATATTCCTAATTATATTCGTGCTGCTCAAAATTATTTCTTTTCTAGATGATGATGAGTGCACGTTGGGTAACCACAATTGTGGAAATGGATTCGTGTGTCGTAATACAGCAGGTTCTTTCAGATGCGACAGAAGTAAATGTCCAGCTGGTCAGAAGCTGTTATCGGATGGCACGTGTAAAGTGGTCATTTGCGGAACTGGAATGGAACATGATGACGATGGAAACTGCATAGGTGAGGCAAATATATCTGAAACTACACTAAAAACCGCCATCATTAAAAATTATGATGACGCACAGAATTAAATAAATAAAAAAACATTTTTATTTTAGTTTTGCAAGTATTTCAACGTATTTCTGATGTTAACAGCTATATTTATAAGGAAATACTTCTAAATTTTGCTTAATTTATTTATTATCTAGCGATACATATTAGAGTAACACTAATGAGCTTGTTTTTTTTAAAAAAAAGCATGAATTTCTTGGTATTTTTATTGATCATACAATAAATAAAAAGTCATTGTTTACGAATAAATAAAATTTAAAAAGCGAGAAATATTTAAATGAAAAAAATTAAAAATGAATCGTTGCTTTTGCATTGTTTCGACATATTTTTGATTATATTTAATCTATTTGGATTACTGATGTTGTAAAAATTATTTCTCAAAGAAACCTGTCAATTTCCATCCATTTTATTAAAAGCTTTAAAACTTTCAAATTATTTATTTTATAAGCAATGCCCGTTGGATATTTTCTTTAACAAAATGGAGACACGCATGAAAACACTCTTTAAAAGTCTGAATTTGTCATTTAATTAAATTTAGGCAATAACTCAATGGGAACAGATCCTACGAGCAACAGAAACCAGATGATTTCTATTATTCTGTATGAATTCTACATGAATTCCGAAGATGAATTTTGTTACATTTCTTAAAAGATGCGAGTCGTTTAATGCAAACCCTACGTGCAGAGGAAACCACCCTAAACAAGTGTATTCTGTTAAATGTCTCAGAAATCATTTCAGGATTTTTTTAAAAATCCTTTTTTTTTTTAAATATTTCTTAATACCTTAAAATGACGTTTTCAAATTTATAAAAGCAGGTAAAATATCGATGACATTTTTCAAATTAGAAGAACGCGTAACTTAAAATATTCATTGGTTGACTTCCAATTTAAACTGTATATCAGAAATTACATTATTTACACTAGTAGTGCAGTGGATTACCACATTCTGTTACGTATTTTTTTATTAAAAAAAAATTTTCGATGAATTTCTTTGGAAATTTTCAATTTTTTTAATAATTTTTTTGCAATAAATTTTATAATTAAATTTTACGTGCTTTTGTAGGTATTCACATATGTAATCTAAAACTTCTAATCCGACATCATCGCACTTCTACTCATTCTACTTTACATCCTTCTAAAAAAAGACTTTATTAACAAAAATCTATATATTTATACTTCTTGTAAACAATGTAAGCTTCAATTTTACATTTTAAATTTCAAATGAACCAATAAAGATTTCGAGTTAATTTGCTCGGGTAACTTAAAAAAAAATATCAAGAAATACTGTTTAGAACTTTTCTATTCGCATGCAATAGACTGTGAAAGGCTACGCAAAAGATTAAGAATTCGAGTACTTAGATATTTTACCTGCTCAATAAAATTTGTACGTAGAGTTCACACAGTAAAAAACTGGCTTTCTTGTTTCAAAAGTTAGTTTTAAGGCCTAGTGCCTCCTTAAATAAATGTTCTTTTTACACTCTTAGTCAGAAACTCTTTTTTTACTATGAAAAATACAGCAAATTTGTGCTGTCTTGCAGATGTGAATGAATGCATTCGGGGACATGCCTGTCGCACTTATCAGCGATGCGTCAACACCGTAGGTTCTTATCGGTGCCAAAATCTTATCAATTGTGAAGCTGGTTATGAACTCAATGAACAAGGGGACCAGTGCGTTGGTATGTTATCTTTCAAATTCAGAATATACACACGTATATATATATATATATATATAAATTGTATTAAGTTTTTAGCCGGCTTTGAAACTCATGACCAAATAACTTTTTGAACAGCTTGATATATCATATCTAGGAAAAAGCAAGAACCGAATTAGCTTGTAGAACATGCAACTTTATAATTAATTGATGCGTTTCTTTGTAGGAAAGAAATATCCATTCGGTTATTTATAAATCAGCTATTTTGATATGGTTAAATTTTACTCCTAATATTATTCAATAGTTGAATCGAGTTTAATTTAGTTTACGTACTTACAGGCGCAACTACGTATGTGATGTTAAAAGGCATGACAATCACGCATGCAGTTCTACAATATCTGGTATCATTGTTGTCATGGTCAAATCAGACTGGCGAGAAAGGGTTATTAAATTCTTGACAACAGTAATTATTACTAACATTAAACTGTACTTTAATTATACTATAATGGACACACTGTATATCATTCGAATAGTTTATATAAATTAATAATGTTTGAATTTTCTAATAAATGAATATTCATCACGTAAATTTGATTTCTTAATGTAATCTGTCAGTTGTTTCATTTCAAAATTAATCTCAAATTTCTAAATTAGTAGTTATTTTATCAATAGAATAGTTTTAAAATTTTGGGGACCGTCTTAGATACAAATAGATAGAATAAATTAATATTCTCGAAAGTTTCTCGCAAATACATACAACACACTCCTGCAAATGACGCAACCAGTAAGAAACGCAAAAAGTAAAAAAAAAAAAAAAAAAAAAATAATCNTTCATTTTAAACCATTGGTAGCACATCTGGTTGTTAATTTTGTTAAAACGAAAATATTCCAATGACATCAATGATTTTGATTGTTAACAATTTTTGATTCTGAATCATGTTATTTGTAGATATCGATGAATGTGTACGTGGATTAGCAGAATGTGACCAGCAACAGACATGCCGCAATCGCCCAGGTGGTTACATTTGCGAATGTCCAAGAGGATATTCTCTCAACACCCAACGAGTATGCGAAGGTAATTTATTATCTACATGACCATAAATACATATCTGCATCTTCAAATTCATTCTTTAAATTCAAAATAACCTCCTAAGATACAATCGACATTCACAAGCATGCGAAACAAAACAATAATTATGTTTTATGAAAAACAGCATGAATGGCGGGCACGTCTCCTAAGCATTCTTTAAATGTTGCTTCTCTCGTAACTGTCATCAATGCTTTTTTAAATGCCCTCAGTTTTTTTTATTATACTTAAAAAGCTATACAGCGAGATTAATACTCATTTTTCAAAGAATGAATTTATTACAACTGAACCTGCATAAGCACAATAAAAACATAATATCGAACACTTCATTTGTTAATATGAATCATTCACTTTAAACCCTTAAATTTTTCCCAAACTTAAAGCTCAGTTTGTTTTTACTTTTCGTAACCCACGTTAAGAAGAGAATTTTAATTCAGAAATTTACATCGTTCCGACTTTCTTTGCCACTGAATAGGAAAAATGTATACACAGATGAGTCTTTTTCAAGAAATTAATCTTGAATGACCTGGATTTATAAAAAAAAGTGCACCAATTTTTAAATTAGCGCGTTTCAATTTAGGAACAGAATAAAAAAAATGCAAAATGTATACACTTAAATAACTCTAAGAAACTCATCAATCTCACCACCAGTCGCTGGGGCTATGTTTTTTAGACTGCGCATGGCCGCTGAAAATCCACCAATGATCAATTTTTTTTACAGAGCAACCAAAAGGAATGCTTTTCTATTCAGATGGAAATACGAATCATCCAATCGAAATAGTACAAACAATTTGTTGCCATTCTTAACTGCTAAATAATGACGACTGATTTAAACCACACCAGAGATGTAGTTCAGCCGCTGACTGAAACATCTCTATTATAAACAGACGATTACAATCAAGTACAGCCTTGACCTGATGTAACGAATAAAAAAAATTAAATATTAACCCTCCTAAAAAGCGTTGAATTCCTAAACAAAATTGTACTGGAAGTTTCTTGCTACGCACTATTTTCCCATTTAATAATATAGAGAAACTGATTTTTTTTATGTGAAAAAAGCCGAGAATAAGTCTCAGAATTTTAAGGAATATGCAACTTTTTGATTACTTTGTGTCCTTTTTGATTAAATACAGTTAGTAACATCAAATATCACTGGTAATGTCTTTTTAATATTTAAAAAAAAACATAATGGTCTACTCTTTAATTTATTACAATGACTGATGCTAAACCAATGAGAAAAATAATTCAAAAATTTTAAAAAATCTTTCGGTACAATTTCTAAAATTTTCCTTTTCAACTGCTATCTCAATTTTACGACTCTAGTACCAACAGTTCTGGAGTAAGAGACACGCTCTGGTGTTAGATAAGAGAGAGATATAAGGACACAGGGTTAACTATTCCTTTTATTATTATTGATTAATGCATCCTTCATGTATGTACCATAATGTTAACTGGATTTCAGATATTGATGAATGTACCAGATTCCGCGGACAGATTTGTGCCAGTCACTCAGAGTGTATCAACACGCAGGGATCTTACAAGTGCAACTGTAACGAAGGATTTCGTGCTGGAAATGATGACAAGACTTGCGCTGGTAAGAGATTTAATTGATGAATTATTTCATATATAAAATAAATGTATATGTCGCATTAAATTAAGGCTTCACTGTAAAGAATGGATGCTCAAATTTCACGAAACTGCCTTTCCTAGTATTTGATCCTCGACAACATTTCGTCAAAGTTACGAAATAACTATCGATCGAATTTTGTAAAAAGTTAAGAAATATTTCATCATTCTAGTTTCGATCGTTTAGCCTTCATTCTAGTTTCGTCAGCAATCAATTCAATTCTCAATTCAATCTCGTCAATTGACAATCTCCCACAATGTTGTGCGATGAGATTCTGAGTTGAGGAAATGTTTTCATACTTTATTTTAGAGTTCGTGTTCGTTCACGAAATCACATGGTTTCGTGACGAAATGGTTCTCAAAATTGACGAAATACAGCTCAAGGATTGTTGAATCGTCAAAAAAGAGAGCTTTACTTCGGAGGGAGTTTCCAAAACTAATAATAATAATACCTTTTGTTACTTTTGCAAAGTTCTGAAATTTCGTCTTAAGGAAAAATGTGCTTTTCAAATTAAAATGTTCATTTAGTCAACTCAAGGTAAATACACATTAAGGATTAGTTTATTAAGCATTATTTGAAGTAAATAATAATTCTTTATCAACAATGTGTCAAATAATAGTTTAAGGACTATTTACAAAATATACACGCCATTTCATCGTTTTTTCTACCATAGTATATGGTGTTCAAATCGCAATGCTATCACTTAATTGAAATGCTCACTATTTCATTGCCTTGCGATAACATAGTAAAAATTCACTGCGGTCCATCATTGTCCGATGTTACGCTATAACAAAAACGTTGTTTTTCAGATAGCAGAAAGAATGAAAAACGCACCCTTATAAAATAGCAGCACATAGCTAGAAATTATAATTCCAGTTGTAATTCAGCTATAATCAACAATTGATATCATACGAAAAAAAGTACTAAAATTAAGTATAAAAAGTTAACAACCTCTTTAAAATCAAAAATAACACTGACAGCACCTTAGGCGATTCTCTTTCTCTTTGTAAATGAAGCACTTAATAAAAAAAGGCACTAAGTTACATTTTTAATTAAAACATATTGATATTTCTATGAGGAAAATCCTATTTTAGTCGTATTTTATTTAATTCTACTCAAATTCTATTTAAATCAGCATTAATTTATATTGTAAACACGCAAAGTTTCCAAGATCTAAGTGAATAAAGGTAACAAGTGGATAAGGCTACATGTGACCAAAATTTATTTTGAGAATCAAAGATTCCAAATGCATTTGGTAGCTAAAAATATTAATTATTGTCACTACACTAAAAAAATACTAATTATTTGGTAACTAAAAATACTAATTAGTTATTACCATAAATACTAATTATTGTAATAAAAACTGTCGTATTTTATTTAATTCTACTTAAATCCTATTTAAATCAGCATTAATTTATATTGTCAACTCCCTAAGTTTCAAAGATCTAAGTGGATAAAGGTAATAAGTGGATAAGGCTACATGTGATCAAAAAATTTTTTGAGAATCAAAGAAGATTCCAAATGCATTTGGTAACTAAAAATACTAATTATTGTCACTACACTAAAGAAATACTAATTATTTGGTAACTAAAAATACTAATTATTTGGTAACTAAATATACTAATTAGTTACTGCAATAAATATATTATTGTAATAAATACTGTCGTATTTTATTTAATTCTACTTAAATCCTATTTAAATCAGTATTAATTTATATTGTCAACTCCCAAAGTTTCAAAGATCTAAGTGGATAATGGTAATAAGTGGATAAGGCTACATGTGATCAAGGAAATTTTTGAGAATCAAAGAAGATTCCAAAAGCATTTGGTAACTAACAGTCGACGAATAACCTCACAAAGTCTCTGTTTCAGCGGCATGATCAAAACACCAACAGTTTCGAGCGCTTTGACGCTAATTTTTTAAAGGAGAGTTAAGAATTTATAGTTTTCGCAAATTTCGGACAAGAAATAAAAGCAAGAAATATTCTTTATTTCCTAAAATTAATAAATAAATTTTAAATCTGATTTACGCAAATTTACTGAAATGGCAATTTAGTATCTTCATCCTCTAAATTTTCCAAAGTTTGTTATGAAAGAAGGGAAAGAAAGAAGGTATTTAATAGTTTAAATTTAAGTGTTGTTCTTTTTTTAAAAAAAGCACAATTTTGATTTTAGCCACAATAGCAGAATTAAAATTTTTAAGCTTTATCTGATAAATCACTCTTCACTTTTACAGTTTATGCCATATGTTCCTGAAGAATTTGTAATAAATTGAGACTTTTTATTCAAAAAGTTTAACTTTATTGACTGTATACTTATATGTTTCAGATGTTGACGAGTGTTCGGAATCTCCAAATATCTGTCAACAAACCTGCAATAACGTTTGGGGATCATATCAGTGCTCCTGTAAGCTAGGTTACACCCTCGGCCCTGATGAAAGATCCTGTATAGGTAATATGAATTGCATGTAAATAATTAAACATTTATAATAACAGAGATTTCCATGTTAATAAAGGAATCCTCGCATATTATTAACATGGAATATTATAGATTTCCATGTTATAATATTCCATCTTAATAATATAAGACAGAGATTTCCTGCATATATATTTCTGTTGTTTTGTATTTTCTATAATCAGATTTTGTCTGTTTGCTTTGAAGGAAATTTCATTAAAGGATTTTATGAAATTTGTATGAAAAAATTTAGATAAATTATCAATAGTTAATATATTTAAAATGAGTAAATCATTATTAATTTTTCGGAACTGCTTGTGATAAATTTGTTATAAGTAGTGACTGTTTGCATTTTTTGTATTTCATACATTGATTAAGAGCGTGTGGGTTTCATAATAATATATTTTCAACTTATTTATTTTAAATTTTATACAAGATATGATAATATTTCGGGGAGGAAAAGGCATACAATTTACCAATTTTTATGAACACAAATTAAAATATATTGGTACTGATGCGTGCCTAAAAATATTCATGCATTTTACTTTTTGAGCACACTCTAAAAAAAAGTTTTTCAAAATCGAGTAAAAATGAGTAAAAATAGCTCCAAACTAAATATTAGTCGATTTTGAAATCCCCATGTATTCATTATTGAAACGCATATGGATGATTCTCACGAAACATGACAATTCGGGCCAAAAAACTTCTTCAAATTTAAAGTCTTCAAAATAATTAAAAAAAAATTTTGTGTACTTCTTTGGCTACACTTATTAATATCTTATAGACAGCAGTGTAGTTTATTGACATTTGCTCGAGAAAAAAAATAAAATAGAAATTCACCAAATCTTGAATGCCAGGAAAATGACATATTACCTTAGAAGTTTTAAAAACAGCCATTTTAAGTTAATAGTAAGTAACTCAACTTAAGCCTTTATGTTAGATGGACCATAAATTGCTTAAATTAATTCTTTTTATCCACTGTAGAAAGAAACAAAAAAATTTTTGTTGCTGATATGTACAGAATAAAATTGTGTATAATAATCAATCATTAAATAAATAAATAACTTTGATTACATCCAAGCATATTACAATCATACATAAACTTGGTATTAGGTTAATATTTGCTTTCCCTCTTTACAGTATTAGCAGTTAAAAAGAATTTCTGGTAACACTTCAATGTCCTGGCATTCATAAGCCAGGAAAATGACAGCCAGGATAATGACAAATTCGCCATTTTATAGCATATAACTTTACTTTAATTTAATATTTTGGCCGAAGACGTTTATATTCTGCAGAAAACAACAGTATTTCTTAAAATAACTCAGATAAATCTATGTAGTTTTTGTTATTAATGATTTCAAGAAGCCAGGAAAATGACAGCATAAAAACCTACTCACCTTGAAAAATTTTTTGAAATAGATTTTGAGCCAGAAAATTGGTTCTTTATTCATGCAACAAGACATGTTCAGATAGGAGGGTATCTAATCAATCTATTAACATAAGATATTGATTCCTGGCGCTATCTATTTTGGTTATAAATCACTAAATAAAAGTAGCCAGGAAAATGACAGATTTTCATGGGACAAACAAACTATTGACAGAAAAAATTATTTTAAACGAAGTTTTAGTAAGCAATACCCTCTGCGTATATTCTAGAAATGCTTACATAGGATAAGATAAAAAAAATTAGATTTTGAAAAATGTATGGGAAGTTTTAAAGCTAGTTATTATTGAAAATATTGTTTGGGACATGCCCGGAAAATGATATTTTGATATTCAATTAAAGTTTTTTAAGTATACAAAACAGTCAATGCTAGTGCAAAGCCATTTTAAAATGCTAACAGCAATGCTATTTGTTTATTTTTTTTAAAAAAAGTTCTTTTAGTATTATAGTATTAGATCTTGGAGCAAGGGACAGTGAATTTCATGTTTCGTGAGAATCACCCATATATTAATTTTTGAGCAAAATGCATAGTCTCTTAAAGTGTTGTGGGAGGGGGGGAAATGTGTGGGAAAGATATTCGTTAGCTGCCAGCAGGATTCGAAGCAAGGACTTCTGGGTTCGTAATAGAATGCTCTAGCAACCATATAGTTGTACATCCATGTACAATGAGACTTAGGAAGCATTTTACATTTCCAGATATCGCAAATTAGGAAAAAAATGAAGTTAAAATTTCCGATCTCCTGACTAAACTATTGGTACCATTTTTTTTCCATATTGCAACTCTTAGTACCATTAAAATTAGAAATTAGTAGGTCATGATATGCCACTACATAAAACTTCCCAACTCTTCGTGGACTGAGTTGTACAACTATGGTGCTTCTGGAGGCCCTTGGTTCGAAACCGAGGAGCCAAAAAGCATCTCCCTCACACATATCTCCCCCCACATCAATTTTGAGACTATGTATTTTGTATGGGTATATGCTGCCTCAATTTTAAATACATTGGTTTTATTGTTCCATTGGGTATACATTGGTATACATATTGTATACACTGGTATTATTTGTTTCAAAGCTTTTTTTTCTCAATCTTTGAGAAATTTTTTTTACTGTATGAAAAGCAATTTATTATGAGGACAACTTAGAATATATGGATGCAGAATAGAAAAATTGTAAGCAAGAAAAAATATGTGATTTAATTTTTATGTATAAAAAGCATTTTATTGTGAGGACGAATCAAAATACGTAGATATACATTATTAGGAATTGTAAGTAAAAGAAACACATACACTTTACTTTTTATGCCTGGAAAACATTTTATTGTGAGGACAAATTAGAATAAGTAGATGCAAAATCGGAAAGTTGTACTGAGAAAAAGTGTTTTTTTTTTTGGAAGTGATACCCTATAGAAGAATTAACGTCATCATTACAGCATTAAAGTTTTATTAAAGATAGAAAACACGAGAGAAAGAAAATCAAAAAAAAAATCCAAGATGGTTAAGACAGAGGGAGTATTTTAAGGGAATATTTATTTCATAAAATGTCTATTCCAATCTCTTTTTTTTTAATTTGAATTTTTTTGTGTAGTTATTTATGAAAAGTAATTGACTCAAAATATGATATATTTTTTCTTGTATTAAAGATATAAACGAATGCGAAGTGTATGGAGGTCTAGGGAATCTTTGCATCGGTTTCTGTATCAACGAACCAGGATCTTTCAAATGCTCTTGTCCAAGTGGTTACAGATTAGCATCGGACGGAAGAACCTGCCAAGGTATTTCTGCGACTGTGTACTTTTCGTTTTTAAAATAAGTATCCTTAGTTTTATATCAATTCTACTTAATTTTAACCGTTTTTAGTTAATATTAAAAACAGTAATTCATTTTATTTAAAAAAGTAATTTTTAAAATTTTTAAATTCATTTATACAGACAGTTTAAATATATTTTATTCAGAACTCTTAATATATGGTAAAATACCATATTACCATATACAGTATATACACCGAAGAGCCATTACATTATGATCCCCCTCCATCTATAACAATGGGCTCGCCCAGGTTTTCATAGTTTCTCGCCCAGGAACAATGTTTTCATGGGGCACATTAGGACCCATAATCCTCATAGAACAATTCCTGACGTCTGTAAGCTACTTGAACATAGTTGCAGACCAGATTCACCCACTCATGGCAACAGTTTTTCCTGCGGAGGATAATGCACCATGTCATAAGGGTCGAATCGTCATGGATTGGTTCGAGGAGCATTCCAGTGACTTTCAAGTCATGTCTTGGCCCCCAAATTCACCTGACCTTAATGCAATAGAACATTTGTGGTCCTACTTGGAAAACCAAATTCGTGCTGCCACGCTACCCTCTCGCAATATGAGGGAATTGCTGGACCAGTTGGTGAGCGCTTGGTACCAGATACCTCAGACTACCTATCAGCACCTTGTGAAATCAATGCCACGGTGGGTACTAGCAGTTTTGAGGGCTAAAGGTGGCCCTACATGTTATTAGCAGGTAGCAGGGTGGTCATAATGTAATGGCTCTTCGGTGTATACAGATAATATATACCTGTAAATGATAAAATACAAGGTATTCTCTAATCAATATAAGTTAAAAATCCTCACCTAGCATGTAATGAAAAACTTTACATTACTGACCGCAAATTATTATTTAAATTTAAAAAAAATATTATCAAAAGTTAATTAGTTCTCATCACTTAGTGGTTAAGGAACTGAACTGTCATTGTGAGGAACTGGGATTCGATTCCCAGTGCCAAAGCCTGCCGATATTATTTTTCATGAAATTGTAGAGCTTTGACCTCACTGGCTGGCAAGGAATTATTGCAGAAATGCCTTACTTCACTTTTTTGCTTTTTTTAATGAAAAGTATAAAAAGTGGAAGCAAAAATCTAATTATGAACGATTCATGTTTTGGATGTACCTAAAAGTATAGATATTTTGTTACAGCCCATCTTTTTACTTTGAGCTAAATCATGTAAATGCTGTGTATTTATTTTTGCAATTTTAATGTAGTACATTCTTTGATTGACCTTAATAATGATTCATTGTATTTTGATAATATATTTAATTATTTTGCTCAAATAGATGTAATAAAGACAATAGCCAAAAGCTATTTCTCAGTATATAAAATATCTTTTTAGTTTTGTAGTTAGTCTTATAAATTGAGCTTGTTCTTTAACAATTTAAATTTTCGCTTGTGTACTTAAAAATGCTACTTTTTTATTTAATTTTACTTGCATTTGTTATTCCTGACAATTCAAAAACTGAACTTTTTAATTAAAAGTATAAATTATTCAATGTAAAAAAAAATACACTCTCTGAATAACTTTCTACCTAATGTTTGCATTTTCGCAAATACAAATGGAATTTTATTGGTTAGAGCATAGATTTTAAATGTGCTAATTAATAAGTGAAAGTAATGATTTAGGTTACAAACTCAGGCGCAAATACTTATTTTTTAAATATGAAACTTTCTTGAGAGTTTTCAAAATCGATATTCAAATTTTTTCGAACCTCAAAATATATGGGGAGATTGCTGTAATCTGGAAACTATAATGAGAAAAGAGTAAAAAAAAAAAGTTTAAGCTTCTTAATTTTTTTTTTCGTATTCTGCCATATCTCTGAAACTATTGAAGCAAATGAAAAGAATTTTTCCCCAGTGATAAAAATCGTATATTTATTTCAATAAATTTAGTCAAGGTTTACCTCCCGAACTACAAGGTTTGAATCTTATTATATGAAAATTCAAAGCTTGTCAAAAGATATTCAGTGTAGTTTGTTTTTTGTTTATTTATTAATAAATTAATTTTCTTCTTTCACACTGCACTTTGCCATTAAATATAAGACGCAATTGCAATGTTCATTTAAATTAGAATAACTCTATTTAGAATTGGATTTGAGTTTTCTTAATAGAAATTTAAAAATTTTCAATTATTCATGGCCAAACTAGATCTTTTTATTAATTAATTGTCAATCAAAATAATTTTTTTCAGATATTGATGAATGCCGTGAACAAAATGTGTGTAATGATGACAAAGCTGTTTGCTTAAACACTAGAGGAGGTTATAAATGTAATAGAATCGACTGTCCACCCAACTATTATAAAGATAACTCTCACAAAAAGTAAGTCATTTTAATTTTACGCAACAAATGAAAAAAAAAATCTATAGCCGGACTGGAAAAAAGCAAGTGCACAGCACTATTTCTTTAATTGCAATCTGCCTCCCTTTAGGAATGGACTGTTCCATATCTTATGAGGATGGAGAAAGATAAGGGGTTTTTCCTGAAACAGAAGAAACAATCAGAATTTATTTTCGAATTCAAAATTCGAATGCAAAATATTATACCTTTCTAATACCGAAAGGCATTTAAAAGAATTTTCACTCGCGTTTGCCACACTTAGTATTAATTTTTAATTTCTTTTATTGCATTTATTCATATTTCTTCAGTCGTTGGGGCATTTTTATGCCCGGAAGTTACGATTAACAAAATTTAATTTAGTAAAAATATCAGAATGGGAAATATAATGCAATGGCACTTACAAATAAATAACATCTGTGAAAAGAATACCGATCAATGGCACTTTACCTTTAAAAAACTACATCAGTCATGGAAATGTGTGATCAGGGGTATGTCCAGACATTTTGTGAAAGGTCCGGTTTTTTTTATAAAATTGAGAAAAAATTACTCGTAATTTGTGGATATAAAATAATTTTTATAAATTTGTATAAATAGGGTCCGGTTATTGCAAAATACTTTTTAAAGGAGTTTTTAAATTGTAATAAGATTATGCTCAGCACTGTAAAATTATAATAAAAAAAATAAATTTTCAAAAATAAACAGCAATTGCTGCTTCAAAATTAGAGATGCAACATACAAATATTTGTTATTTAGCCTATACTGCTGAACGCAGAATATTCATTTCGGACGAATAAAGGAAGAAGCGTCTGACAAAGACATAACTTAATTCGTTTACATCTGTCTTTCTCGGTTTCGCCCCTGGGAAGAGTTTATTGGATTAACAAAACAGTAATGAAGATAAAGAAATTTGTAAAGGGTCCGATTGAAGGAAAACTCATTTTGTGAAGGGTCCGTTTTTAAGTTAAAATATTTTGTGAAGGGTTCGTTTTCATGAAAACATATTTTGTGAAGGGTCCGTTAAGGGACCCAAATTTCTTCTGAACAAACCCCTGGTGATGCATTTTATAACTTTATGAACAGGCAAAAGAAAAGTAAAAATCACTCCCATTGGGAAAAAGCTCAAAATTGATGAATTATCGCTGTTTGTAGGCTGTTAGTTTTGTAATCTTGCTGCCGACGAATAATTTTTGCGGCCCTCACTAATTATCTTAGATTTAAAACAATAAAATTATGCTGTTGGTAATATTAGATGGGTGCTTTAATACTGTTTTATGGTTTTGTTTTTAACTGACAAATACCTATTTGAATGCTTCTAAAAATTGTCTTAACGTAAATGGCGCAAAAGTAAGGACAATGTTCAAAAATTTAAAAATTTTTGAATAATGTAAAACATGTGCTGTATTAACATAATTTAAGCAGAAAAAAATATGCGTAGAAATTATAAAATCACTCCCACTAAACATTCTAAGAAATGTCTGTTAAATTTGAAGAATTGAGCGTTAATTTATTCGGCCGTTAATTTATACAAACGTTAATTTATACAGACATTATGGAACGTTCCCCGATACCTTTATCGTATATTTTTAGTATCTCTGTCAAAAATTATGTAAAAATAATGCACCCATTGGAGTTCACAAATTAATGCTCACGAAACCAAATTAAAGTTTCTGAAAAAAAATTTATAAGAGCTTGACAAGCTATTAACAAAATATTAAGTAAGCATCTAAATGTTATATAAATTTTAATGTGGTATTAAACACATCACCACTTAAAAAAATTTTACACTATAAACACATTACACTGTAAAAATTAACAATAAGCTATCTGGCAATCAAACTGATTTTTTTATTTTTTTTATTTCTTTTTCTCAACAATGTTTCGTTAAATTTTTATCGTATTTTTGTTTTTCCTTGCGTTATTTGCAATCCCTAATTTGCATATTTTATTTACTTCGTCATCTACAAGGATTCTAAAGCTATCTAGTCAGTCATTACGGTATACCCAGTGTCCTCTTTTTTGCAATAATACAGGTAAAAAAATGTGTTTCATGTCAACAAAATAATATTTAAAGTAAAAACGTGAAACAAAATGTTAGAAAATTATGCGTCTTAAATAAACTTCTTACATGAACTAATTTTCAAATAATTCATATTTAAGTCAATTTAGGGATTATTTTTAAAGCTTTCGATATTGGTTATTAAGAATTGAGCGATTGGTAGTTTTTAGTTTTACAATTTGTGAAAAAATTTGAAATATATGAGAGAAAGGTATAAATAGAGAAGAAATCTGTACAATATTGTTGTTTCTTTGTTGATATGAGTAAGTCAGATTCTTCTATTTATTGAGTATTTTCTTTCATTTAAAACTAGGGTTGAGGAGATGTTCTTGTAAAATTTTCAAACTAAACCATAATCGTCATTTTAATTTAAATGTATTTTTTACCTATGAGAAATGTATACTTCGTTTTTAATTAACGAAGTATTTTAATTAACAAATTATTTATAACTGTTGCAGGCAATTTATTATAATATCTTAGTAAAACCTACAACTGCAATGTGCAAATATTGCTATTTCTATTAATTTTTGGAAATTATTGGGTTGTTTGGAATGTAATTTCGTTTTTTCATAACAGAGAACTTTACTATGTTTTCTCACAGCTAATTTCGCACTTAAGCTGCATAATCATTGTATATTTTGATAGCTTATAAAGCAACGCTTGCTTGTGGCAAAGTTCTGTTGATTCTAAGCAGTAGTTTTTGGTTGATGACTTTTCGAAAGTGGTTTACTACATAGAGGACGAAATGCTGCTCAAACAAGAAAAAATTATACGATATACATGCAGAAGATGTATTGGCATTACACCCGCGCGAAAACTGTTTTGCACAATTTAGAATGAGATGCACGAAGATTTTACCACGCCCTCTTAAGCTGATGAAGACGCAATAAAGGCATTAACTGATGCAAACAGCTGAATAAAACTCGTGAGGTTTCCGAGATATTAAATTTATCAAATTTGACTTTTCATGACCATTTGAAAAGCCTAATGGTTTAACCTCAAAGCGCGATATATGGGTTCCAGAAAGAAATTTGTGCCGTCACGTGGACGTCTGCGATTTGCTTCTCAGACGTCAAGAAAATTATCCTTTTTTGAAGCGCATCATCACTAGAGACAAGAAATGGATAGTCTACAAAAATGATCCTGTCACTGCAAAATTTTTTAGGTGGTAAAATCTTTGTTTCGAATAAGGAGGTCAAAATTCATCTAGATCAGTTTTTTTTTGCCAGAAAAGAACAAAAATTTTATTCTAGTAAATTCCTGCAACTGCTAGAAAGATGGCAAAGCGTATTAGACCAGAGTGATTTAATAAAATATTTATTCACATTAAAAAAATTGCCTTTATTTTCACGGAGGAAAGAAAATGAAATTACTTTCCAAACAACCCAATATTTGCTCCAACTCTTAATATTCTTCTCTAATAAATAGTTGTTTTTTTTTTTAAAAAAAAAAAGTCAAAATATTATAAAATAATTGTGAATCTTGATAGATCATAAAAATGAGTACTACATCTTTATTTGTTATAACAGCTAATCATAATTCACAACCCTATCTGACTATTGAAAGTAATCTTATATTCTCTTTAAAAATAGCAAGATTTTCTTTGCTGTGATTGCTTATGATTCCAATATTTATTTTAATTTGGCTTTTCAAGCAAAATTAAATTATAACTCATAAAACACAATTTAATTTTTCAATACATGAAATTTTTTTAATTACTTTTGTTCCTTTATAATAAATGAATTTTTAAAGAACAATCATCTGTAAAAGAATTATGCACAGGTGCAGATTTCTTCTCATGTTCATACCTTTCTCTTGCAGCCGGTGCAAGCGAGTGACCAGGGACTGTCAGACAGGTGATTGTCTAAAAGAACCCCTTTCCTATTCCTACAACTACATCACTTTCGTGTCCAACATGAGGCTCCCTCTGTCAGGACAGGTGGACCTCTTCACCATGCGAGGACCAAGCTTCCAATCAACCACTGTCCAGTTTGAATTGCAGCTGACGAGTGCCAGGGCTCCGCCGGGAACAACACCAGCAACCAAAGATTACTTTCACTTGAGAAGGACTGCTTACAACGAAGCCATGATAGCCTTAACAAAAAGCATAACAGGACCACAAGAAATAGAATTGGATCTCGTCATGAAGATCTACCATAATGGGTTGTATGGAGGAACAGCCGTTGCAAAAATCTTCTTATTTGTCACAGAATATAACTTTTAAAAGTTTCAGTCTTGGAGGTGAAAATTTGAAGATGTGAACTCACTCGCCATACAGCTGCGTTCGAATATAGTCTCGATTGTGATGTAAACTAAAAACTCTTTTTCAATACAGGGTTTTACTGTTTGTCTAAGATAGGTACTCTGACCGCCACTAAGTCTGCGGCAGTCTGGTGCTATGGAAACAAGAAGAGGTTATTTTAGGGAGGGTAGCTTCGATGAAGAGGTCTCCTTTCCTCTCGCCGAAACCAGTCCCAAAGAGGGACCACGCAGCCCTACTTAAAAAAATCATACCTCGTTACCATAGTCACCGCCACAGCTCCAGACGAATGTCTGGCAGAGTATCTATCTTAGACAAACAGTACATGATTCCTTCCTGGTTTCAGAAACTAGGCTGTAGTAAATAAAAAAATTAAGACGAATACGGCAGAAACAAACCTTACACTAAATACAAAAATAAATCAAATTTCATTTAGAGTCGTTGCATATGTTGTATGAGAACCCTTTGCACGCGGCACACACAACAATGCATAGTTACTGCCAGACTCTATTCAACAAGATACTATGGTATTGACAGCACGTCTCGCGAGTGACTTTTTCTGTGGATTTTGACCATCTTTTCCTACCCCTTTTGTTAGCAAAACTACGTGAAAGATCACACGTGCTGTCAGTACCATTGATACTCTATCGTTTTGAATACAGTCTAGCGGAAACTAACCTATCGTATTTATTAATGCCATGCAATTAATGGTTCACACATCTGGAAAACCTGCACTGGTTGTAAATAAAACTTAAATTTTTTCTGTATTTAGAGCAAAATTTGTGACTTTTGTATTTGTCTTAAGTTTTTTTGTTGTCTTCTGAAAACCCAGGAGATAAATTATGACTGACTCTGTTAGAGCAATCAAGATTTCCAAATAAAAACTACAGGAATTGAAAATAAGCGGGTGAAAATTGCTTGCTGTTTTATTTTTGAATGCTCTAAAATAATAGTAGAACTGGCTTATATTATAAAAAATTCTTCATTTGACACATTAAAACTTTGCTCTGTAAAAATTTCCTAATCAAATTACGGTAAAAAGTACCGGCACTCAGGGTGCCAGTACTTTTTTCCAGAAAATCCTCTTTTACCGGAAACTGTTAAGGAACAAGAAATCAGATATACCGTAATTTTTGCACTAATAATTACCGTGAAATCCCTGAATCACTCCAATTAAATAAATATTACTGTAAAAAGTACGGTATAATATTTTACAATAAAAGGGAATTTTACGGATGATGCACCTAAAGTGCCGCCACTTTATACCGTAATTTGATACAAAATTTTTCACAGTGCATTTCTTAGATATATTTTGGAAAAGTCGATTTCTGAAAAGTCAATTAGACTATGTGAAACACCGCTGTCATGTACATTTTTGAAAAGTCAGTCACACTGTGAAGATGACAGGTGTTTATTTCTGAAAAGTCAATCAGTCTGCAGTAGACACTGCCGGTTTCTACATATATTTTTAATAATTTACAGCAATTTAACAGCCGAATTTCAAATTTCAGCTGCTATATCAGAACCCTTATAGAGTGATATTGTTAATTGTGAAATTTAAACTTATTATTATTCGCTTTTTTATGTTTATTTTTTGCTAATTCTACGACTTATTCTGGAACTTATTTTTTTTTCCGACACCTAAATTGATACGTCTGAATTAAATGTGCAAAAATTCGAATAAAAAACTAATTGCATTTATTGCTCAATGTTTTAAGGCTCTTTTTATGCTTATGAATGTTACAATGTACAGATAACACTGCCAAATGAAATTAAGTTCGAAATGTTTTCTTATTTTAAAATGTATTTTTCTAGATGGTATTGATATTACTAATTTATTTTAAATAAAAATATTTTAGAGTTTTGTTTTCTTATCTATATTATTCCTCACACATCCAAATCAACATCTGAAACTGAAAAAATAAACAAAATTAAAACCTCTCACGTAAAAACATAATTATACAGTAACTATGCTTAATTGTTTTAGCAATAACCCTAGATTCATAAACATTCACTTCACAGACAGATCTAATAAGATTTGATTCTCTCTCAGGCGAGAGTTTTATACTTCAAAATTCACTATCCCCTCAAATATAAAAGTTAGAAAAAAATACTACTCCAAATTCTTTTACATAAAGTGAAAAAGAATACTTTAATCAGCGAAACAATTTATTATCAATATAAAATCCATTGAAATTGAAATTACGCTTACTGATTAGCAATATTGTATTTATCTGATAAAACTCGAAGACGTTTCAATTGACTAAAATCAGCCACTCACTTGATTATACGAACAAAATTGTAATCAAGGCAATTAAAAATGCCGTATTTGCTTGAAAACCTTACAATTCATTGGCGATCGTAAAAGTAATCAAACCGCTTGCTTGACCCAACTCTTATTGTATATCGGAATATATTTTTAGAATATCGGTATATATTAACAAAAAAAAAGAAGAAAAAAAAAAACTTGGAGAAAATCCTTTGATCACTGTCGCTCACCAACCCCCGTGAATGCTTTGAAACAATATTTGTTTCTAAACACAAAAGAAAAGTTTTCTTACTTTCGAGGTTGAAAATATTCACATAAAATGTATTCACTAAAAAGAATTCTGTTTGCTCATTCTCATGTTTACTATGTCTAAACATTTCCCTTATTCTGTTAAGATCTAATTGGGAACTTCCACCTCGAGAACCAAGTGATTTAAATCAGATTTAATTGGATACCTGCTCTGACGTCAGATTTAATTGGATCGACAAATGCCACGATTTACCTACGTTGACGTCACTTTCAGGCATCCAATTGTAAACACCAATAATTTTATTAGCAAGCATTTTATTAAAGATAACGTTTGGATTAAAGTTTTGTTGTATTAAAAAATTTGCTCGGTTACTATTACAACTTTATCAGCAAATTTTGTTTTTTAAATTTCTAATTCTCCTTATTTGCTATAAAAACTCGTTAAATGTTTTTATGCCAAAGAGTTTACTAAAAGATTATTTTGTAATAATGATTTACAATTCTGTATTATTATTATAGAATATTAATTTTGAATGGACACAATTTTACACAAAGCTTATAATAAAATATATATTGATCTATAATAGATTGTTTTTCTTTTTAATAAATAAATGTCATCGGAATAAAGTATTGCCCTTGAAATCATATGGAACATTTTTCCCAAGTTGCGTTTAAAACTATTCATTAATGTCTCGTAAGCATTGTTGCAAGGTTTAAGAGATATTTCATAAACTTAAATAAAAGATTTTACTAGTGGTTACAAAAAAAACTATTATTGTAGTTTATAGGGAATTAAAAAAAGTTTTTACATTTAAAAAATAAAGTTTTTACATCTGCAATGTATGGCTTTTAAAAGATGTGCATCACGTCCATCGACGATTCTTAAAACATTCTATCTTTAATATTCACAGTCAGAATGTGAACACTGACGACACAATAATTTGCCGAAAGAAATGTACTCAGAACGACGTCGACTGCATCCTTAACGATACTCAGACTGTGACGTTTCAGACGTTGGCCTTGCCGACCATCCCTTACTTGCCGCAACCTTTCATCCTGACTACCATGAGGGCTATAGCGAATTCTGACGTCACTTTCCACACCAGCTACCACATTTTGGAGGGAAACGAAAACGAGTTGTTCGACATTTTAAAAGGTCAAGGTGTAGGTGAGTAGTTAACTATCTCGTGTTAATTACCTTTCATTCATTATTTTTTTTAAAAATTTATAAAGATTATTTAATTTCCGTCAAGTTATTTCTCTGGAGTGGCACAGAAGATAGAGCACCCACCTCAGAATGAAGTGATCTGGTTTGAATCCCAGGGATGACAGGTCGATTTGTATCTTGCTCCCGGATCGTATCCACTACAGTGTTAACGCGAAATATCTCAAGTAGTAAACGGATTCTAGTCTTCTTGATATCAGGCTAAACCAGGAATGGTTTCGTGATTTTCCTCTCCGTGTATCACGAATGCGCGTCAGTCCCATCAAAAATCTCTTTGTTAAAGCAACATGGTCATAATGGTTCATCCAGAAGTTCCTTTGCCTTTTGGATTAGGTTCAAAATTACAAAGCTGCGAAGTTGAACATTTCTTGCCACAAGTTCTATCAGTATTCAAGTATCGATCAGCTGTTCAATGCCAGTGACAAAACAAAATAAAATCATTCTTGGAGATAATCTCTTTGATTGATAACTGCACATCTAATACTTAATTACACACGTAAAAAAAATTTAGTTAAATAAATAAATTTCCAAAAAAAAATATTGTATTTTATATTATTTTATAACCAACGTTAAACAGCCGACCCAATTCTGAGTTTACTATCTATGTTTAACTCCGTGGCTTTGTAATTTTGAACCCAGCCCAGAAGATATGGGAGCCCTTGAAACAAACATTGGAACGAACTAGTCTTCGTGGCAGACTTTTTGATGGAACTATCCAGTATTTGCGTCACATGGAGAGGAAAACCACGAAAATCTCCTGCGATTTGTCAGATGGCAAGGGGATTCTAAGCAATAATCCGTCTACCATTGAGGATATCTTACATCAGCACTGTAGTTGATGCGAGCCGGAAGCAGGATTCGTATCAACCAACCCCCGTTGTAATTCGAACCTGGGTCAACTCATTTGGAGGCGAATGCCCTAGATTGTTAGAAGCAATTATGCTGTTAAACACTGTACGATTTGTTAAAATATCAGTTGAGTGCTATTGATTCGCCAATTTTCAACTTTGAACAAAGGTATTTGAAACTATAAGTTTAGGAAAGGCAAAAAAGTGTTAAGCTTGCTTTATTTATTTATATATTAAATTGAATTGATGTTGATTACTAATTTATAAATTTTTATTCTTGGCAATTTTTATATAAACATAGAAAAAAAACTTTTCAATCTTAGAGGAAAATTAAAAAAAGGCCATATTATCAATCGAATGTTTGATACGTGCAGAGGTTTACTAAATTTTAAGGAAATAAATGAATTGTCTGAGAATGCGGAGCATATTTTAATCGACCCGTAAAAAGGACGCTAGACAATAATGGGCTGAAAAATATTTCAAAATGTGTTATTTAAACAATTATTTGAATTTGAAAGAAAAAAATTAACAAAAACGTACCAGACCAACAAACAAATTTAAAATATATCTCTTTCCCACTAAAAAACTTTTTTCGTAAAAACTGTTTATTCGATAGGAATATGCATAATTTTAAAAGAAAATGCTTTATTGGTGTATCTGTATTAAAAAAAAGTATTTTATTAAATTAAAATGTTTGTAAATTTTCTCTTCAGGCTCTTTACGAATAAGAAAATCCATACACGGTCCTCAAGAATTGCTGTTGAAAATTCTGATGACAATTCATCTGAACTCTAATCCACGGATCAGATACACTTCCACTTCAAAGCATTTAGCTCTCATTCAAATCATAGTTTCTCAATATGATTTTTAGCTATCAGAAATTAGTGATTTATTTTGCTTCATAATTCTATGATCTGATTTCATTTTTTTTTTGCATAATTCTAAGATCTGATTTCATTTTTATGCATAATTCTAAGATCTGATTTCATTTTTATGCATAATTCTATGATCTGATTTAACATTACTCCATGTAATTATACTAAGCTGATTAATTTTACTCAGTTATTCTATGATCAACCAATATACTTTACTCCATAATTTCTTACCTGAAGTTATTTTTCTTCATAATTCTATGATCTGATTTTATTTTGATCCATAATTATATGACCTGATTTAATATCACTCTATGTAATCTGTAATTCAATGATATAATTTTTTTTACTCTATAATTTTTTGCTTAGTGTTATTTTACTTCATAACACTATGATCTGATTTCCTTTTAATTCATAATTCTTTGATATGATTCAATATCATTCCATGTAATTCTAAAATGTAGTTTAATTTTACTCGACAAACTAAATTTATGCTGCATAATTTTTTGCCTGTTGCTTGTTATTTTACTCCATAATTTTATGATCTGATTTCATTTTAATTCATAATTCTTCGATCTGATTTAATATCACTCCATGTAATTCTGTTGTTACATATGGCTTTATTGGAAATATTAATCCATATACAATCCATGTAATTCTATAATGTGTCTAAATTTTGGTCTATAATTCTCTGACTTGATTTGATCTGGTCTAGTGTTATTTTACTTCCTAATACTATGACCTGATTTCATTTTAATTCATAATTCGTTGATCTGATTTAATATCACTCCATGAATTTCTATAATGTAGTTTAATTTTACTCTGTAATTCTATGATCTAATTTTATTTTACACCATAATTTTTTGCTTGTTATTATTTTAATCCGTAATTATATGATCCAATTTGCTTTGCGCCATATTTCTGTGATCTGATTTAATATTACTCCATACGTTGAATTTTTCTTTTACTCAATAATTCCATGATCCAATCTTATTTTACTTTATGCGATTTCACGCCATAACTTTGTTATCTGATTTGTTTAAACTTCATTGTTGCTTTCATACTACAAATATCCCGGTGTTTGTTTTTTAATGTTTTATGTTAAGTCGATGTTCTTTTTTCTATGTCAGTGTTCATTTCTTAGTACTGTAAAATGGGGAATAATTTTTTTTTCTTTGCTTCTTTGTTACGTTTTATTGGATCTTCAAAGTAGGATCATTCAGAATACAGCTGTGAAATACGAAATACTTAATACGAAAAATAGAATAAAGCCATGTATATTTATTTTGCATAACAGGAATTAATAGTATTTTCTCAAGTTGACTATTATATGAAGGTTTCATTTTTTTTTATTCTTTTACAATTTTTAACGTACATTACAAAAAGTTTTGGATAAAAGT